TCCTACTTCTCCTCCTTTAAAATTTACTTATCGGGATTATATTCAAAGTTTTTACAAAACTTTTTATTATGAAAACCCTGAAAGAAGCATACTTGGTTCATAAAAATATGCTCCCATGTATATTCTTCTCCCATACCCAACTGGTTTATTCAGTGGTGGGCATTATATGGCCCAACAAAGAAAAATTTTGCCGATAATTTTTCAAAATTATATTATCAATGGTTAAAATCCTCTCCTATCATTGATAAACTTCAACACATCATATCTCGTGCTCCAGAAAATCACTCTGTTATACTTTTTATTGAATTCTTGATTCCTTGGATTTATAAATGGGTCCCCGAGGTGGGATTCAATGAATTTCAAATTCCGTGTCTTTATAAGACATATTACACCAAATTTTGGGACAAATTAACAAAGATGAATCACAATACAAAAAGAATGGAAGGACAAGACTTGTTGGACGAAATTGCCCGAAAAATCAAGGAATATACTCAAGACAAAGAATGACTCAAAGCAAACCCAGATGAAGAAAGTCCGTTTAAACATATCACAAAACGGATTCAGCTTCAAGAAGGAGCAATTAATAAGGAAGAAATAATATCCGCCTATATGAAAGAAGTTAAAGCAGATCTCATGAGAAATTTAAAGAATCTCGACAATGATAATATTTCGAAAAATCGATGTTTCGATGAAGAGCATAACTTCAAATGAAGAAAATTCGTTTGCGATATTGGCGGAGAATCTCGGTCACCGAAAAAGATGACGATCACGATGAATTCATCAAAAATGCACAGCAGATCCAAGAATCACTCAATCACCAAAGGAAAGAAAAAGAATGAAGTGACAAAAGTACGAATCTACTTTTGAAATTTTGACAAAAGTAGGAATCTACTTTTGAAATTTTGTACAAATAGACCACCACCTTCAGTCAAATCTGAAGAAAACCATGTCAAATAATGACAAAAGTTAATAATTTTTGTGGAATAGTAGTTTTAACTTTTGTAGAATAGTAGTTAGGCAATTTGTCTATAAATAGAATGTAGAAGTTCTTGTGGAGGGCATCATCATTCTCTCCAAGCATTCTCTCATTTCTTCTCCCTTTATCCCGAAATTCTCTCTCTCCCTTGTAAAAACATCATTTAGAAAATATATCTTTCAAGTTTGAAGCATTGAAGAAGCCTTTAAAGGTAATATTTTCTTTTAAGTTTGTTTAAAGTTATAGTTTGAAGTACTCAGACAATGTCTGAGTAAATCCTTTGTCTGAATCAAACATTTGGCTTTTGTTTACATAAATTATACATGGAAGCTCTATCTCCTTCTTCTCTTTTAATTAAAATACGATGATTTGAGATTGGTTCCAATTCCGAGTTCAGTCGGAAAACTCAACAATAAGTGCATTGGGCTAGAAAAGTACCCGCTATGATGAATTGTGTAAGGGGAAAAGAGGCCACATGATGCACAATAAGTTGTGAATTCAGCATGTGCTTGAGAGTTGGGTGAAACTTTTCCATGCATCTCGATTATTGATATTTTAATTAAGGATGGATAGAGATTTTGATCCTGTAGTTGGCCGACAAGGCATAGCTCCGGATGAATGGTATCAGCCAGGGTGGTGGTCTGGATTCCGGCCTGGTTTCCTTACTCGTCTGTTTGCCTGGTCTTACCGGCTAAGATAAGCACTGGCCAGGCCCCAGCCCCACGCCAACTTGAAAAAATTTCCGTATTTTAATAATGGATCATTAAATATTTTAAAATCTATAATGACTTATATTTTAGAATAGAAGGAGTATTTGTTAAAATACAGAGTAATAACTTGGGAAATCATCATTAAATGTAACCCAAGTGAAGCAAATATGCGGAAAGAGTACATTATCTGTTTTGAATGGAGCGAGAGACTTTTTTTTTTTGACACACAATTAAAAGTATCTAGTCTATTACATGTGGGTGGAATCTATGAGGAAGGGGATAGTACTACTAAGGGGGAGACTCCACATGCGCACAGCTCAATTTGGTACTCGAAAAACCTCTTGGCGGGTGCAGGGAGAGACTCCACACGCGCACGCCTCGTTCTGGTACTCGAAAAACCTCCTGGCAGGTGCAAGCAAACCTGCACAAACTCAATATTGAAAGTGGTGTTAGCGGGATTCGAACTTAGGTCTCCTAAGTTGGATGCCAAAGCCCAAACCACTAGACCACCCCTTTGTTGACAGAGTGAGAGACTATTTTTTGATAGAACCACTTTTTATGGGCATCAATGTCGTATTAGTTAAATAATTAACACATATTATCATTAATGCTAATAACCTATCCAAATGATAAATAAACTTATTTGGACTAGTAATTAAATACTTGTCAATCATCTAACTAATGTTGCATCTAAAAAAAAAGTTCGGCTAGCCACAAATTTTTTTTTTTTTTAAAGGAAAAGCTTGCAAGATGTTATTTTCATAGAAATGAAATACAAATAAATCTGAATACATATTAAATTAACACCACAAGATATAGTTCTCCCTATTTAGAGTGAGGTGATGATATATACTTTAATTTGTCTAAAAAAGAAGAGTATTTTAAAGTAGAGGAGTACAAAGTTTATTACAAAACCAGACAAAAAAGTTGATCTAGTACAATACACAGGTTGATGATCCATTGATTGCCGGAGGGAGCTCTGAGATACACTGCTTTGCGATGCAATCTTGCATCTAAGATGCAAATATGTTATCCAGAATCTGCAAAAGACATGGTCTCATAAAAGTATTAAGAAAATGTACTTACAACATAGGCCAGAAAGTATTTTTTTTTAAGGTGCATATATATATGCATCACAGTTATCAGGGTTCATTTCAATCGTTTTTAAGGTGCATAGAATCAAACACCTTACATGCAACCAATTGAGCTTTAATATCTACATACAATAGGACCAATTTTTCTTCCCCAAGAATGCAAAACCAAACACATACGCGGTAAAGGAACACAACAACAGAGAGCTAAACTGTTTGTTGAAATTGCGGAATTCCTTCCGCCGCCGCAAGTAAAAGTTATTTCAAGTAAATTCTACGAAAATGAAAGGGGAAAACTCAATAAATTATAGCTCTTCTTCATCTTACAAAAAAGTTGATCTAGTACAATACACAGGTTGATGATCCATTGATTGCCGGAGGGAGCTCTGAGATACACTGCTTTGCGATGCAATCTTGCATCTAAGATGCAAATATGTTATCCAGAATCTGCAAAAGACATGGTCTCATAAAAGTATTAAGAAAATGTACTTACAACATAGGCCAGAAAGTATTTTTTTTTAAGGTGCATATATATATGCATCACAGTTATCAGGGTTCATTTCAATCGTTTTTAAGGTGCATAGAATCAAACACCTTACATGCAACCAATTGAGCTTTAATATCTACATACAATAGGACCAATTTTTCTTCCCCAAGAATGCAAAACCAAACACATACGCGGTAAAAGGAACACAACAACAGAGAGCTAAACTGTTTGTTGAAATTGCGGAATTCCTTCCGCCGCCGCAAGTAAAAGTTATTTCAAGTAAATTCTACGAAAATGAAAGGGGAAAACTCAATAAATTATAGCTCTTCTTCATCTTATCCTGTAGATGATTAATCAAATCTTAATCACCATAAGTCACTTTTATTGTAATTGAATTTTACAATTAAATCTTTTTTTCTTCGAAACGGGTAATCCTATAGACGGCTTTTCATCATTTTTTCTTTTGGCACCAGACTAACACTCAAGCATGCTTGATCAAAATTAATGTAACAAGGAAAAAGTATGAATCTAATGAAGAATTAGTCCCAGAAAATTATTTGGGCATAATTACAAACAGGTAATATGCAAAGAAAACTAAGTGTATTTCTTATCACATAAGCCAAGTATATTTGTTATCCACTACTGTTAAAAATTCATTCTTGCCTCTTGAAGCCATTGACATCATCGCTGCTAGAAAAGTACACATTTAACCAAAGCTAGTTTTGATTACAAACTTGATTATAAAAGAAGAAATTACATGCAGTTAAGCCAGCCCAGACAACTCCATTAAAGTAAAGGAGACAAAATTCCGAGGCAAATTCCAAACTTCGCACGTATAAAGGGAGGTTTTCAGCAGAAAAAGCAAATAAAAAAACACACAAAGAATTAAAATAAGTAAACTAAATCTAGATGAGTGAAAGAGTGAAAAAAAAACCCAATGACAAACAACTAACCTGCTTAATCTCGCCAGCCAAAGCAAATTCAGTGCCTCGTCTCCTTTTCGCTCAAACTCGGAGAATGAAAACGCAACCGAAACAAATGGTTACCATAAAGAAGAAGAAAACGCAAGAGAGAGAAGAAACGGTCCAGCCAAAGCTTGCCACGTCAGCAGTTTCAACCCACAACCTGCCTTTAACCCTACGCAAAAACTGCTTCCGCATTTTATATTATGTAGATTCTCAATAACACGGTCATTCATTCTAAAACTTGAATTTTTTTCTCAATTGATCCGGATCCCGGTACTGATATACTCAAATTCGAGTCAAGCTTTTAGGGGATTTTCCTCCAAAGAAGACACTTTTGTCCTAGCATTTTTTTTTTTTTGTGTTTTTCTGTTCACTGATTACAAATACTTTTTCTGTCCTAAATTATTGTCCAATTTGATATTTCGCTTTTAATATAATTTAAACTAGAAATGAAAATCCAAACTGAACAATAATTATGGGACGGAGGGAGTAATAGAAATGATGTATGGTTGCATTCTTGATTTGTGAATTATTGAAATTCATAGTAAACCATAAAATAAATTTCTGAAAAAAGAACCACCCACTAAAGCCACAAAATTAAAAGGAAAAAAAAATGGAAAGATATTTTCATAAAATGAGAAGCAGCTAAAACAAATAACACCACAAGCACCCAAGTGGAAATCCAACCTTACACGTGGCATTACAAGCTTGGAGAAATCAAAATTATTTTCAAATATGTATTTTTGCCCCATAAAATGAATGAATGAATACCGTAAATCGGAATTGTATAAATTTTTAAGCGACTTAGAAAGAAAACCTCAAAATCATCGAACTTTCACATTGCACTTGCACAACAGTTGACTTCCTCAAATTCGTGTCAGCAAATTAATCTCTCAGCTCATGGCAATTGAGGTAAATCCGTAAAGATCATTACAATTTACAACAATCCCACAGAAAAAATTCAAAATTTTGCAGTAAATTAAGCGTTTCCTTAACGAATTCGATCTCTTTGCTTGTTTCCAGGCGTGGTTCATGGATGAGAGCTCAGAAGATCAGAGGCTTCCACACCAGACGAACCCTCCAGAACACGTTTCCATGGAGTATTTGGCTGATTTAGGAGTGCTTTATTGGAATCTGAATCCGAAGAATTTCGAAAACGATGAAGAATTGAAGAAGATCAGAGAAAGCAGAGGATACAGCTATATGGTACTACTATTTAGTATATATATGAAATTGTTTTTAAATTTAAGGAAAATTATGTAAAAAAATTTAAAAAAAATGGTGGTTTTTGATTTGTCGCAGGATTTGCTGGACTTATGTCCTGAGAAAGTGGAGAACTATGAACAGAAGCTGAAGAATTTCTACACAGAGCATATCCATGGAGACGAGGAGATTCGTTATTGCTTGGAAGGGAGTGGGTATTTTGATGTCAGAGACAAGAATGACCGTTGGATTCGCATCTGGATGAAACCTGGTGATCTTATTGTTTTGCCTGCTGGGATTTACCATCGATTTACCCTCGACACCAGCAACTATGTCAAGGTAAAAATAAAAGAAAAACTGACACTTCCATTTCAGTTATTAATATCATGTAGTCACGACTCATCATGACATGAGACTATGAGAGTCAGGAATCGGAATTTGTTACACGATATGAATCTAACTAAAAAAATAAATGTCAATCTTCTGCTATGTCAGATGTTTGAGTTTGGAAAACGTGTTAATTTTGGATAGTTCATTGAAAAAATGATCATCAACACAAAACACGACTCAGAATTGATGTACATTTATATGTTACTACTAGTTCAAAAATTAATTGAAGTGTGATTTTTTTGGTGTTAAATTGGATTGCAGCTGATGAGGCTGTTTGTGGGAGAGCCGGTGTGGACAGCATATAACAGACCACAGGAAAATCATCCAGCAAGGAAGGAATATTTGAAGAATTTTACTGAGAAATTTGGAGTGCCACTTGAAGCTCACTGATTCAATCTCATTTTATATTAATAACTTGAGTACAAAAAGAGTTGTGCATGGTATCTAGATGATATCTAAATGATATCGTAACTCAAAAAAAAAAACAATGATACTAATAGTCATCATGATGTAATCGAACTTTTTCTTAGTTCATACTTCATATGTACTTTACAATAATTTCCTATAGTCTAAACCAAGCTTTAGTAGAAATTGAGACCAGTCATCATGCATTCGTCCAGGCATCGAATTTTTGCAAGTACACAATCAGCTATATGATTAGCTTCTCCATAAACATTAATTATTCCGATCTATTTCCCGATTAATCTTGAGCCAGTAAAGTTGATTGCTGGTTAAATTGAGGGAGGAACAGCAAGGAATGGGATAATACAAATTTTGAGGTGCCGAAGTAGAGGGAATGAACATATATTTTCCATTAAAATGGGCTCACTGATGAAGCCTGGCTGTTGAACTCCAAACCAGTTGGTTTTATTAGTATCATTTGCAATTGAACCGTTTTGCATTAAAAATATCGTACAGGTTTTGTGGTTATAAATTGTAAACATTCCTCCGTCCATAAGTTCGAGTATTCGGATATGGATATGGTAGGTAGCAAGTGATGAACACTTTTTTTTTTTTTTTTCTTCCTTTTGGTTTTACATGGAGATATTTTTTACATAATAGTACAAGATCATTCTACGCTAATCTCGATTTTCGAGCTCTTTGCAAGTTGCAAGATGGCCTGTCATATTAGGGCGGCTATTTGCGCTTCTAGTAGCTTCGCCAGAATCGTTGAAATTAATTTTTATTTCTATGTTTGTTTGATTTTTTTGATAGTTTTTTCATTTTATTTTATTAATAACTGTCTCATCCCAACATATTTTTGTACATTTCTAATACCAAAAAAACCTAAAATTCACACTAAAAAAACGAAATAAACATACCCTTAACTTCATCTGCTTCTTTTACTTTCCAGTGGAACATCGTGATTTAAATTTGTGTTACAACTTTGAATTGTTTCTTCTTTTTTTTTTTTGAAAGTACAGTGATCATGAAGTTTAGTAACCTATACATTATATATGTAGAATTTAGCAACATTTGTATGTCTATCATATGCTTTAGACTTCCTCATAAAAACACAGATCGAACTTTCTGTTTATGAGAGATTCTTTTGAGCTCTAAAATGCTCGGATCACTAGACGTTTAAACAAGTAATAATGATAAATGTTGATCCAAATTTAAGCTTCTACTTTGATACAAATTATTATTATCAGTGTGTCATAATAATACTACCTGTATTCGATAAAAATAAGTCATATTGAGTACGTGAATTATATTTTTTTAGAAAGATCATTTACCAAACCTTGTAGTATCCACTATCCCTAAGCTAATAGCCAATCAACAATTTTATATATTTCACCTGGAGAAACGTGAAATTAACCACAATGTAAAATGATCAAGGTTCTAGAATGTTACCACCGACTTGAAACTGCTATAAATGGACATTGCAGTCATGGTTCAATTGGGCAACAATGGGTTGCCTCCAGGTAAGGCAGCATAACCTTTCCATTAAAGGCAATGTCACCTTTATCTGCATGTCTTTTGTAGTACTAGTTGTATAAAACATTTGGTCCTCAGCTCTAGCTCATTGTTTTTGGCTTTATCCCGATGTATTATAAGCCTTATGCCTTTAGGATTTGTAAGATTAGCAAAGTTGTTTCTAAAATTGCGATTTATAATGCATTTTCTTTTATCTTTTCTTTAAAAATTACTAGAAAATAGAAATGGTTATCGAACTAGGAAAACAAATGTTGTTTAAGTCATATGAACTCAACTGAGGAAGCCTTAGATTTGGGGTAGGGTTATCGGTTTGCCAATCAAAAAGATTGACATTTCTATAGTCAAAGTTAGCTGTAAAGAAAGGGGAAAATTGGAAACAAAATTTCAATTTGGACTTCTTGTTCTTCTCTTAAAAGACCTTACTAACCCAGCCAAAATTCCGTCTTCATAAGGAAGTGTTGTTTACCTGGACAAAAACCTTTTCCCAAAGGAGAAGGGTAGTAAGGTATTTTTGTCACATGCAATCCTTTTGATTGGCTAACTAGCTGATATTCTGGGTTTCCACCATATATACATACATATATATATAAGAACTGTCAAATCGAAATTCCTTGGCGTTCATTAAAAGCTCTCGACGGGGAAAAAGATTCGAGAACGAGATTGCAGACGAACTGACTAAACTTGAAAATGGGTTCTCTTTCTAAGGTATGGATTTCCTTCTATCTTTTTCTCTTATTTCTTCCCAGGGATTTCCTGTTATGGATTTTCTGGGTCATTAATTTTGTGGTTGAGGGAAAGCGATTGTTTATTTGTGATTGTCCTGGGATTTTTTTTATCGAATTCCGGTGTGTTTTTTAATCCCTTTGAATCTCCCAACTCTTGGATTCGAAGGTCATTTGTAGTTGAGGTAGATTTTAATATGGCTGAGGTGGTTACTAATTTCTAATTAAAATTTTGGTCGTTTTTCTGTTTTTTCATTTATTGAACTATGCTATCCATTAGCTATGTTGACAGGGCAGTCTTATGATTGTAGGAGCTAGAAATAAGCCGATTCTTGGTTGATGACGACATAGGAGGCATTATTTTTGGGTGTTGTTTGGTGGTATTCATTTTTGATTCAGTAGTCCTGGAAGAAGTCAGCATTGTTTTCCTTTATAATGTTAATGATTGAACAAAAAGAAACTTTTATATAGGAACCGTGGTTTTGGATTTGTGCTTTTGATATAGTGTGTGGATTCCAAACCTGAGCTTTCCTTGTAGTATTGAGTTTAACCTGTTCAAACTTAAAGAGCTGAGGGGGTAGGTTTTACTTTTTACATATTTGCTTCTCCTGAGTTACGTTTCTTATCATATTCTTTCCTTTGGATGCTTGGCTACTTTTATTGGAGACAATAGATGATATTCGCTCAATTTTTTCTTTTTTGCAAAAGAATGACCTGTTTGCTTGATGATTATTTGGTTATCTTCTATGTGTACTTTTACAAAATACCTAATCGGCGAGGAATAAGTTAAACTCAGAGAAGAGAACACACTCAGACAGTGATGATGTACTCTTCTAGGTTTGAATTCCTCTTGGCTGTGCCCTGGCAGGGTTGTTGCACAAAACGTATTAGATGGAATTTCACTCATTTTAATTGGATGTCAGTTGAATAGAAAATAATATCCGTGAAGTATTTTCTTGTTCAGATTTGCCTGTTAATCATGATTATTTCACTAGAGGCGACCTTAGTTGCTTCTAGGTGTTGTATTTTGGGTTGACTGCCATTGTCTATGCCCTTGGTCTCTGCGTTCGTTCTACTTATTTTCTGTTCTCATTCTTATCTTTGATAGTCTAAGAGAAGGTATGTTCAACGCTCATTTTCTTCAACTGTTTTCGTTCTTTCAGGATGCTAGGGAGGAAGTTATACAGGCTTGGTACATGGATGATAGTGATGTGGACCAGAGACTTCCTCACCACCGTGAACCAAAGGAATTTGTTTCACTGGATAAACTTGCTGGTATATAACTTTTAACCTTTTATTTCCATTTTGACATCTTGATTCATGGTGTACAGCATTGTCCTTCCTCAGTTGGGTAAATTTTTATAATCACTACTCCAGTGATCAAATTTTATGTGCATAGTCCTTTGCAGCAACAACTGATTTAAGTTTTTGTTTGTAGACTGTATGTGCTCAATGTTTATCGTTGAGCATATAAATGGCGGACAAATGTTTATGTGTGCTCTTGTTAGTGCTTCCATGGTTTTCAACTATTACTTTTCCAATTTTGCAGAGCTTGGAGTACTTAGCTGGCGACTGGATGCTGATAACTGGGAAAATGATGAAGAGTTGAAGAAAATCCGCGAAGAACGCGGTTATTCTTATATGGTAAGTTTACTTTAATTTGTTTTGCAGGTGATTGTTGTACTTTAATTTGTTTTGCAGGTGATTGTAAATGTTTTAAAATTAGTCCTTCTGATAGTTTTGGATAAATTGTGATCAAATAAACTACAGGACTTCTGTGAGGTTTGCCCTGAAAAGTTACCGAACTATGAGGAAAAGATTAAAAGCTTCTTTGAAGAACATCTTCACACTGATGAGGAGATCCGTTACTGTATTGCTGGTTCTGGTAAGTAAATGAGCATTTTTTTTTCATTGTTATTCCACTTAATGCATCCAGTCATGGTGACTAATGTTGTATTTCCTGTGGAAGGTTATTTTGATGTGAGGGATAGTGATGAAGCTTGGATTCGCATTTGGGTGAAGAAAGGTGCCATGATTGTGCTTCCTGCCGGAATTTATCATCGGTTTACTCTTGATTCTGACAACTACATTAAGGTATCACTGAGCAACATCCCTCCCTGTTGTTTGTGGTTATCAGTCACTGAATGCAATCTGTTTCTGTTTTCCTTTTTATCCTTTGAGATAACCAAATGAGGAAGGGCCATACCTAAAGTTAAAGAAAACCTGTTGTTTGTTGTTATCAGTCACTGAATGCAATCTGTTTCTGTTTTCCTTTTTATCCTTTGAGATAACCAAATGAGGAAGGGTCATACCTAAAGTTAAAGAAAACCTGAAAATGCTTGTTTGGTCATTTGCAATTCTTTATTGGCGATAGTTGATCTGTGTATGAGGTTTGGTAATGCAATACTGCAATTCCTGAGCAGAAGTTTGTGAGTGTGGCAGAAGGCTCTGCTTGTATGGTCATCTTGTTGCTGTAGCTTGATGTGCTTTAACTCTCTCTGGTTGTTATTGTACCTTCTAGCAGAATATGTAGCTTTATCTCATTTCCTTGATTCCTAGTGTTGCAACTTTGTTGTCACTGCAACCATTCAGCCTGAGATGTTGGGGGCATATACATATATAAATTTTGTTCTCTCTGTTACTTTCTTGGAAAAGACATTTGGGTTGTTATCTAATCTCAAGTGATGTCGATACATTTCGATACATTTACAGGCAATGCGGCTCTTTGTTGGTGAACCGGTATGGACCCCGTACAATCGTCCACATGATCACCTTCCTGCCAGGTATGTTTCTTGGTCCAAAGCTCTATACTATGCAATCCCTTTCCAATGTAAATTGAAGAGTTAAACGTCATGTTGGGAACTGAAAAAAGAAGAAAGAAAAAAGAAAAGATCTTGAACACAAGAATAAAACTGCAATATATCTTGAATTCTGAAAGATACTCATACATGCAGGAAAGGATATATTGAAACTTTTGGAAAGAAAGAAGCTGCAAATCAAGCAGTGAATGCTGCTGCTTAGAAACTCCTCGAACATCAAAACTGCTTGCTTGCTGAAGTTTGTATTGTTATTATTATCTACCAAAATAAAATAACGAAATGGACTGCGGTTCTGTTCTTTCCATATGCGTTATTTTGGTTGCATAATGACACTTGTAACATATAATGGTTTTGTAATATAAAATCTTCTAACTGTGTTTCTGGTGACACTTCCTTTTAATATGTCCATATAACCAATGTGCTTGATGACACTTGTCATTGATTTGGTTCTTGAACATGTCGTATTCACTGTATGTTTCTTTTTTGCCTTCAATGATGATGATGGTGGTGGTGGTTTTCTTTCACCTTCTTGAAGCAATAATTCTTGCTTCCAACCACCAATAGGAGAAGGGCTTTCCACATTGAGATATGATACCTTCCTGTCTTTTTCAGTCTCTGTTCCAAAACGTTTCAAATTGCCCCCTTTGGATATATGCTTTTGCCAAGATCTTTGGTTCTATTCTAACATCATCATATTTTTTTTTTCCATTAGTTTAATGTTTGGTGTCTCCACTCTACATTGATGATCTGACAAAACAGTTTGAATGGTTGGGTCTGTCAACACGTGTCCCCGCGGTAGGTGGGAGATTTTTGCCATTTTGGTTACTTTAAGATGCTGGCCTCATTGGCTGGGAAATGGTGCAAAAACAATTGAAAATGTATAATAAATTTAGAATATCTTGTTTGTCCAAATTCAGGCTTCGTTATTAGGCCAATTATGTTGTCTGGAATAATTTGGTTGCTATTTTTGGCACGGGCCAACAGTTAAAATCTCTGAAAATTTGAATAGACTAATAAATAATAATATTAATAAAGTTGTTCATAAAGGCTCTGAAAATGGTCAGAACGGCCACCGTTTGCCTTTATTTTTAGGTTACTTCGCCCAAAGGTAATTGCCGTATTGGGACTCAAAAACTTTTTACCTTTGCCTTCAGTCAGGAGGCCGAAGGGATACGAGGTATGTTGCTACGGTCATAGTGTAGCGATATTTTGAGTTTATAATCGTGTTTTCTAAGTTAAAAAAAAATGTTATTTCATCAATTTAAATTAATTATAAAGAAAATAATGTTTTCTGTAATCATAAATGACAGTTAGTACTTGATAAATGTGACAGACGATCTAGTTTTATTTATAAATGTGACAAGTATTATCTTGTCTCACGAATATTGTTATCATTACTTCTACATTTGCCTGTATTTTTGTCGAATTAGTCAAAATCCCATCTGGATGAAATAAAACGTGAATTTATTTTTGGTCTTTTTCTTGACCGAATTATGCAACCGCTGATGTATTATTGGAGAAAATCTGAGTTGGTTCTAACTTGTCGATGGCGTGGCATTGAATTCTTCATCTGTTAATTTGTTCTTTGAGCTATCCCTTTATTCACCGACCTAAAAGATCTGATCTAAAACTCTTACGTGTTTGAATCCGTTCCAGGATTTTGAGCCACTCCTGAATTCAATATATACCTGATCCTTTGTCTCTGAAGCATGCTCCCTACAAAATGATGCTTTCAGGTTGTTGAATAATTGCTTGAAAAAAGGGGAAAAAAAATGAAAAAAAGAAGATATTATTTATTTCAGGCATTAGGATCTGCAGTGTGGCATGATTTTAATAAATTTTTTAAGTCCGAGGCCGATAATGTCGTCTTGTCTTTAAATTATTTGTTCCTTTTTAATGTTAGAAAAAGCAATAGTAACCTTTTAGATATTTTTTTTGTCCACGACAGCCAGCTAGATATTTCTTCTCCTTGCGAAACTTTTAGGACAGAGCCAAATCAAAAAATAAAAAAATAAATAAATTAAAAGACCTTAGTTTCAGCAAAAGATTCAAAATGAAAGATGTACGTGTCACTAATGTGTTATTTTTGATGTTAAAATAATTGTCTTAAAGAAAAGCACCAATGTGGTAAGATTGAAGCAAGAATATACCCCAATTTCGTTTTCAAAGCAATAAGAAATTGAGATTTGGAAAACCCGTGTCCTTTTTAGAGAACCTAACAAGGGACGTGAAATCTTTTTCTGCCATCCTAATGCCGTGGACGTGGTCTAATTTAAAGATTTTTTTTTAATCTAAGTTTTATTTATCTGTTCTTTTTTTACAAACGTTACATATCATATTTTGATTAATCTCCATTTGATTGTGAAAACATTTAATTTTGAAGGTATAAGAGTCTTTCATCCATGTTAACTTTTACTCTATGTCTAAATGGACTCGTACTGGAGAATTTTTTCATTTATTAAGCATGATAATATTTATTACTTCTGTTTTAACAAAATAGTCTATATTTTTGTACTGTTTTTAATATAAATTTTAAACTTAACGTAACTGATATTTTTGGGACAGATGAATATCATTTGTGTAAAGAAATCAAATACCCTGCTGCTTGAACAAGTGATGGTTCTTCTTGATGTTTTTTTTTTTTTTAATTGTTTGTAGGTGTGTTGGAATAACCACCCACATAATGTGAGCTTAGCACACGTATAATGCAAGAAAATGGGCGAAAAAATTAAGCGGGACACACGTGTTCAAAGGACAAATATCTTTGCCAATATTATAGATATGGAAAGGAAAAAAAAAAAAAAGCACAACACTTTGTGTCATAAATAGCTCAAAAGTTTAAAAGGCACCTCCCAAAAGAAGAAAATGTTGGGAGGTGTGGGGGCTGAAAAATATCTCCCAATAGTCCCTTCCTCCCAATTTTTATTCTTTGTTTGACATCACCAAACCTTTCCACCTGTCCTAATTTTCACAAAAGTTCTTCATAGATTCATTATAATTATTTTTTCTTTTTGTCAACCCCATAATAAAAAGCTTGAACCTTCATATACTTTTGCCACATATTTCACCTCCTTCCTTCAAAGTTCAAAGCTTTTTGTTGTCTCTTTTCTTCCAATCTATCTATCCTACCTAGCACTACTCCTTGCCTTCTTCCTTTTGTTCCATAACTGCATGCTTCAGAGACTTTTCCATTTTCCTTTGTAACCATCTTAATCTAGAAGATTTCTAATTAACTTTACCTTCCCACTATTCTGGGGAGGTGGGAAGTTCATATTTTTGGTTGGTGATATAGACCAAATCTGCAAAACCCTTTTAGACTTGAGCTGTAACTTTTCAATCCCAGATTAGATTTTTTTTGGTATTGATTTCTAGATATGAACAATATGAATCCATTAGGGTCAGTGAAGGAAGAGTTTTACACTGGATCTAGTTCATTGTATCCTCCACTTTCAGGTGAGGTTTCTTTCTGTGTTTCTTCTAGTGCTCCTCCTCCTCAGCCAATGGAAGGCCTTAATCAGGCTGGACCACCTCCATTCTTAACCAAGACATATGACCTTGTGGATGATCCACAAACTGATCATATTGTTTCATGGAGTAGAGGTAACAACAGTTTTATTGTTTGGGATCCCCAATCTTTTGCAATGAGTCTTCTTCCTAGGTACTTCAAGCACAACAATTTCTCCAGCTTTGTCAGGCAGCTCAATACTTATGTGAGTAATAATTTCTTTCATTATTTTGGCTGTTAATTTTTATGCAAAAAGTAAAAAAGCATTGTTTTTTGCTTGGTGGGATTAATAATATCTAATGGGCATTAAATGTGGGCTTAAGTTAATTTATGAAGTTTTTGACCTAGATTTTACCTTTCTTCTGCTGAAGTGTGAATGCCATATTAATTCTTCATAATTGCAGCATACTTCTGACATAGAATGAACCTCTTGGTGAGTTGGGGAACAAATTGAGATCATACATTTCATGTGATTAATTATGTCAATTTTATATGGCCTTACCCCATAGATTTCCTAGATTCTTTTTGGTTAATTTCATTTGGGTTATGTATATTGTATTCCTTAAAGATGAGTTACAATTAAGAAGGCAATATTCTTGATAGTCCTTACTGTGTTGAATTTCTTGGATAGAATAATGCACCTCTCCTATGCTGTCTGGATTCATTGAACTAAACTTTTGTTTTTCATCATATATACTTTTAGGGGGAATAAAGAATATATCTAGTGTATGTAAAATTCTTGCCACTCCTTTTCAGAGATATCTTTGTGTCTTATATCATCACTCATCAGTATCTAAGTGTGCCTTTAGATATGGTTAGGAGCGCAACAATTGGTGAAGAGATTCTCCATTTTGTTTATGACTCACAATACAGTTATTACATATGCATTAGGTCATAGTTTTTGGTTTCATTTTGTATTCATTAGGCTACGTTTTTGGTTTCATTTTGAAATGGAGGTTTAAGATATACATATATATGATGAAATGAAAGACTAGCAGTACTACAAAACTTGCAGGGTTTCAGAAAGATTGATGCTGAAAAATGGGAGTTTGCTTGTGAAGGTTTTTTGAGGGGACAAAAGCATCTCTTGAAAAACATACGGAGGAGAAAGAATCCTCCCAATTTTCCACCTTCTAATAACCAAGGTTCAACTACTGATCCTTGTGTTGAAGTTGGAAGATTCGGTTTGGATGCTGAAATTGATAGGTTAAGGAGAGACAAGCAAGTACTCACAAATGAACTAGTTAAACTCAGACAGCAACAGCAATCTACAAAAACTTATCTTAAATCCATGGAAGAGAGGTTACAAATGACTGAGATGAAACAACAGCAAATGATGACTTTTTTGGCTAAAGCCATTCAAAATCCAAGTCTTTTGGATCAGTTAGTCCAGCAGAAGGAGAGAAGGAAAGCACTTGAAGAAGAATTAAGCAAGAAGAGAAGGAAGCAACTTGACCACCATCATGATCAAGTTGCTCCTGGAAGTAATTTTGGGGAAGCTAGCAATAGTAGTTATGTCAAACTCGAATCGCCGGAGTTTGGATACCATGATGATTTTGGTGGCCTGAATGATTTAGGGATGAATATGCAAGAACCAATGCAAAATGCAGTGCATTTGGATCAAGGATTTTGGGATGGCCTAATGCATGAGGAGAATGATCAAGATCAGCATATAGGCTACAACTTTGGTGCTGAAGGAGGAGAACCTGTGGAAGACATGTTAACTGAGCAAATTGGTTTTTTAGGTTCTAATTTACCATGAAAAACCTATATTTTAAGATTGTTGTTTTAAATGTTTAGCTGATTATTCGAAATTGACACAACATTAGAACCTTAATTTTGTTGGGAAAAAGCACTCCCTACAATAATTCATTAGGGGTTTCTAGTTTGGTTATCTAACTGGTTTGTTGAGCTCTTTAATCAGCAGATTTTCTAGCTAGTTAGTGCTTAGTATTAGCAATTTGTTTGGTATTCTATTATCCATCGAATTTCGTTCAACTGCAGTATTTGTATGAATGATTGTCATTAGCTGAAGGTAAGATCAAGATTCATGATTATGGATTCGAACACTTTATGACATCATTTGATCTATTTAATCGTTGTTTTTTTTTGGGTGAATGTATTTGTTTAAATTAATTGAATGGATTATGAATAGGGCAAAATACTAACTTTGTTTCTTTCCGGCTAACTCCAAAATTTTCACATTTCTCCTAGTAATGATGATTTGGAAAAATTCAGTTACCCACCTTATGCTTTTGATGGAGATATTATAAACCCCGAAGACGAAATGTAATGGAAAACAATAAAATATCTGGAATAACCTCCAAATAATTAAAACGTATGCATAGTTTAAAAGTATTTTGAGATTATTCATTCCGATAGAACTAGTAAACATGACAAATTTATTTGAAAGCTTATCGACTCTAGTTTGAAAAGAAATGGACCGTACCGGGTAGTTTAGTTTGAAGTTAGGCTTAACGAATTGAAATAGAAGGAAAGAAAAAAGGAGATTGTTGAGCTAAATTATTAGGTTTCACATCAACAGTGTTTCCTTAAGTTAGATTATCGAAGTTGTTGATATAGTCAAAGACCCATATATAGTCAAAGACCCATATAGAAGGTTAAAGGTTTCATTACAACTATTCTCCTTAAACTAGACAGTTCCTAAGAAAAAAAAAAAAGAAAAAAAAAACAAGAGCTTCATTCATGCCTCTGTGTTTGTAAGATTTCTTATTATCTTCTTTATTTATTTATTTTTTTCTCTTTCATAATAATTTCTCAACTTCGCTTTCTATTTAGTAAATATGTGGAAAAACTTAATCATTTAATATTGTCAAGTCCAAAATCATATGTCTTCTCTGTTACGAAATGATTGTACACTTTGGATTTAACTAAAAATAAAAATTTTAAAAGGGACAATAATTTCGAAATGAAAAAAGTACTAATTACATGATGTCCAACCAGAATAATTTTTTTCATCAAATAATCTTAATTCCAACTCTCACCTAGTGTCACAAATCACAATTGTCATCCTAATTGATCGAACATTAATTCCGATTCGTGTTGAAAGACTTAGTTGTCATTCACTTAATGATTACTTTATTAAGTCTTAAGACTAAAACCAAAAGTGATCAACGAAGAAATTTGCTGACATTGTCCCAACGAGGATGTTAGAAAATTTGAGTACTCTCAGCTTTGAAACTTCTTCATTGTGGCATCAGTGGACGACCTTGCTTAATTATCAGCACCCTTATAAACTGGTCCCCTGAGTGGCAATATTGATATTGATCTGCCATATTTTGAATGCTCATTGATCCAAGTTTTGCATCGGCTTTGCTGAGTTGGATGCAAAGCTTCAGGCCCAAAATCCTCAAATATTAGGCCGACCCTTTGCCTCTTTATTTTTAGTTTAATAACAAAAACATATGCCCGATTTGAATTATTGTTACCATTAATCTTATGAATATTCTTTATGAGATTAATAAACATATATTTTTTTTTAATTTTTTTTAAAACTTCTATTAACAACATATCATAAATGAAAGTATATAAATGTTAGGTCCAACAGGTCTCATGATTGCACTCAAAGCAAGACCAGCATGCCTTATTTCATTACCAGAAAATGGATGTACTACTCCAGCACGAATATTTTTTTATAAGCCTTAGAGAATCATTTTGATAATGAAAATTTTCGAGTGTTAGGTTTAACATATTAATTACAAGTCTTATTATTATGATCAATGCAGTACCAGAAATTAATTTGGGAAAATGGGTTTGTTAGGTTTTAAATTAGTGTTTGGTCTGTATGATAAAGCATTTGTTGAGTTTATTAAATGCACCATATGCATTTAACTATTTTAAGATTATAAGTAAAAAAAAAAAAATTGAGCTAAAACAGCTCTGGACTCTTCAACTACTGAATCATTGGATTATAAGCACTACCTCACTATCATATTTTTCCTTTGAACTCGTCCTTTTCAAAAAAAAAAAAAAAACTCGTGAAATATCTGTACAAGAAAATCCGTTATTATGATTCATTGGTACGTATTGTTCAGCTGTTTATCAAACTCCAACATCACTAATTAGAATAATCAATGAGCGAATTTATTAGAGTATTCTTCGATGTGGAATCTTAGCTTAAATTCAGAATGTAATTTACAAAATTTTACTGATTTTTGGCATAAGGAGTCAAAGAGTGTTTTGCACGTCTTTGAAGAAGGTGAGGACTTTATTGCAATTTTCTAAAGCTGATGGAAAGGTGCCGTGTAGACTCCCTCACCGAGTCACCGACGAAAACCAAATGGCGCAACCCCACCGAACTTAAGATCCTGAAATGACGAATTTACCCCTTCCTTTGTGGAGATATACACGAGTGTTTTTCCCCATAAGTTCAATAGTTATCTCTTCTTTTGATTTTTGTTTCCCTTAAATAATAGTACTAATAAATTGGGTATTAATGCTACTCCAATAAATCAACAATATAATTGGTTTGCTCTCGTTAATTCACGAAAAAAGATGATAGAATAATAAAATATTTAAAAACTAACTATATTAAGTAATCCATTTTGGAGTGTATGATTAAGAATTTAATGAAAATAAAAATTCTTAAAAAAGTATAAAAAAGTAATTGACAAATAAGAAAAATTTGCTTTAAAAAGTAAACATTAACATTAGAAACTGTATATTTTGTTTGCATATGAACTAAAATATTAATTGAAGTAATAGTATACCATCCAAAAAAATAAGCATCTATTATTTTTTCATTAAGCAGCCAAATTTTTTTAAAGATAAAATAAAAATAATATTAACATATAAATTTTTTAAAAACATTAACATTTCAAGAATTTTTTAAAGTATTATTATATTTATCAGTCTAATTATTTTAGGACTCAACGTACGTACAGAAAATTACGTACCAAGAATAAAATGACAGGTTTTGATAGGGAAAAAAAAAATTTGATAGACAATATAATAGCAGCATTATGTATTATGTTTCTATAGCAAAAAATATATACTACTAAAAACTCAAGATGGGTAATTTCGTCAATTCAGAAAAGATCAAATGTAAGCCCACCTCTTAAAACCCCCACATTACATCACAACACGTCACCCTTTCTCCTCAGTTCCTCATCATCTCGTCATATTCCAAAAACCCATACAAAATTTCCCTAATTTCCCATTAATTAATGTCACCAGAAAGGGGCAAAGAAATTCACTAATGTTCTGTTTTATTTTATTTTCCATAATTCTGCTCTTTAACCTTCTTCCTTAAGCTCCTCTATTTTCTCTGTTTTACTTTTCTTTTTTGCTTCCAAAATAAATAAACTTTTTTTGGTTCTTAATGACTGTTATCAGATCCAAATTGAGACTCTTGTTTCCCAATTCGCATTCTGATTTTAACCTAGAAAAAAAATCGACATTTGAATTAATCACGCCATAATTATTCTCCAAATATCTCTATCTCACTGAATATAAATTGAATTGGAGAGTGTGTGTTTGTGTGCAAAGAAATTTCAGCGGAAAGGAGAGAGAGAGAGAGTAATAATGGGGGGAGCACCGTCGACGCCGCGTTGGAGCGGTGGTGGGGCAATGAGGCCGGCGGAGACGGCGGAGTATTTAATTGGAACGTTTGTTGGGGAGAAGTCGTATCCTTTAGAGTCCGATTACTGGCAGAAGCTCCTGGAGTTGCCTATTGATCTCCGCTGGCCTCCTGATCGTGTCCTGCAAGCTTGTCAGCTCCTTGGTTAGTTCGAATTCTACTGTTTTTTTTTTTTGTGTTAAACTAACTTGTGAATATTGGTTTCTGATTGTGGCATTGCGACTTTTGAGTCCTTTTTTTTTTTGGTTATGTAATCTTTTGCCTTTCCTTTTGTGATGTCAAAAGTTTAAAGTTGTTTGAAGATCCTGAGTAGTGTGTCAGTTATTTGTCGGTTTAGCTTTTTTACTTAGATATTGAAGTTGTACTAATTTATGCCAACTAATATAATATGAAATATATGCCTTAGAATATTTTGCGACATGTTAGGACTGTTAATTTGCTTTTGAGTCGTATCTTATTCGTGTCCATTGTTGGTTATGATCGTTTGCTTCGTTCTAGAGAAGAGAGTGGGTGAGTGCATGTTGATTTTAGTGTCTTAGCCTCTCGTGGACAGAAGTAATGCATTCTGGTTTCCATGTGAAGGCGTGATAGATAGCTTAAACACTGTTCAGATTCCTACGTTGGCTATGGGTGTCTTCTCTAACAATGGAAGTGGTGTTCTTGTTTATTTGTAAAAATTTAATGGCCAATTATTCATTTAGGAAATGATTGTGAGCCAGTTACATGTGGCTTGTTGCGGAAAGAACAATGTATAACCTGTGCGGTCGGTCAGCCCACTTACTAGCCTAGTATTTAGGAATTTGAAGTGAATTTTGTAGTGTTGGAGCCATTATCATCTCTTTTTAACTCCCACAATCTTGATTGAACTTAAGAAATGATTTTAGAGAAGGTAAAATGGGCTAAGTTTCTTCCTCTCACATATCGTTTATTGATTTTTTCTCGTGGGAGATTTAGTATTTCTGAACCAGTGAGCGTGACAGGAAAAGTTTAAAGGGTTAAAATATATCGTGTTTATCCTAGAAAGGGAAGTCTTAAAGGTTGTTCTTTTCTGGGATCTGTATATCATCATTAATATCTTCTGTCGTGAATATATCTTTAAAAGGAAAACTATGAAGACTCTAACTGCGACTTGTTTCTCCTGTCAAATTTTACAGCTCAGAATAACAGTCAGACAAGACATCTTGCAAAGATTTTAATACATCTCGTGAGGTGTTTGCAAGAATGTGTTTCTAGTTCCGGTGTGCCCTTTGCCGCCTTTGTGAAATCTCTTAATGCAGTTTACATCTCCTCTGTCTTCCTGAAGTACTTAATTGAGACTGCCAAAAGCGACGATTTTGAAGAGTTATACCTTTCTATCGATGGAGCTGAGACACTACCAAACACTTTCTCAACAGGTGATCCACTTGTTCTAAGTGATACTTTCTTGTGTTCTCCCCTCCTCGTTTTTTTTCTTATAATTTTCCCTTTTGAAACAGATCTCAGCATTCAGCATCTGGTCATGCATAGTGTCCTTACATTTATTGGCAAAGTAGATGTCAGGTATGTAGTAGTTTTTTGCAAGTAATTCTTCTCTCCGAGGTTGTATCCTTGTATTCCTGATATCTTGCATCTTTCCCACAGCACCAACACATACCTGTTGCACCATGAGCTACTTAACTTTGTACTCATAGCCATGTCAACCCAGCTTCTAAGTGGACCATCGCCAGGTCCAGAAGATGTTCACCCATTTATTGATGCATTGATGGTTCAGGTAATGTGGAAAATTGTTAATTTCTGTTACTTTTTGCTGAAAGGTCAATCACTAAAATTTAGCACTTCTATTTTGTGCAGGAGAGTTCTTTGGTTAGTTTGGTGGTGTGTAAGCTGCTCTCAAACTACACTAGACAACCTAACTTCCCGGTTGATAGTTCATCTTACAGCATATTCTCTGAAGTCAACCAGCCGGGTGTTCTACAGAGAGTTGGTTCTGTGGCTGGTATGTGGAAATATCTCCTCTTCTCTTGTTAATTATCTCTTTTGTTCTCCTTTATGTCTTAACATAACTTTTGAACAGAAAAATATTTATTGGTTGATTCTTTTTTGTTCTTTAGTCGAAATTATGCTGAATTTAGCATTAGATTGTGATGTTTCACTATTTACTAAACAACGTGCTGATCAGCCATATTGACTAGTGTACAGAAATAAACCTCAGTACAGTCATCAGGCATTTGGTTGTTGCATTTTGAATTTATTGTGAATCGGATGGCATAGTTACGTACTTGTATAAGTAGCCTTTTGTTATCGCTCAGTATTCTATGTTCATTAAATTAAATATGAATTGAGATAGTTGATTGTCTTGAAGTTTTAGACAGTAAGCCATTTGTTTACTTCTCCATAATTTTCTTCTCTTTTATATATTCTTTAGCACTGGAAAGAGTTGCATGCATGAGATATTACTCGTACTTGTGCCAGTCAATCTGGTTGCTCTTCTTTTAAAGGGCCTGCTTCAGCTTTTGTGATGGCATCTAACTTGACACGTTTTTGCTTATTGTCTGATCTTCTGTTTAACATTATTTTCTATAGCTGTAATGAGGACTCATTTCTTTTCCTTGTGAATTTCACAGCAAATTTTGTGCTCTTCCCATTGAATTTCTTTGTTGGTTCAACTGGAGAACCCACTAAGAGTCCTTTGGCAGATAACAGCCTCAACGTTTTACTTGTTCTCATCCATTACCGAAAATGCGTTGGGGTGGACTATGTAAAAGGAAAAGTTGGCTACAGCTCAGATTCTCTCCCAAAGGAAGAACCATATTTTTCCGAAAATCCTTACTGCAAGGCCTTGCAAAATGCTCGAGATGTTGAATGTGAGAAATATTAAATGTTTGTCATTTTGGTGGCATGTAATTTCATAATGCTAAGTTTATCTGCTACTGCCTGTCTGCAGTTGATCGCTTAGATGTTGACGGGAATGCACACAATGGGCCTCTTGTGAAGTTGCCTTTTGCTTCTCTGTTTGATACTCTTGGCATGTAAGTCTTTAATTTCCTTTTTGCAACTCTGTACTACTAAAAAAGCTACAACTTGCATTGTTTTCAATTTTGAAGCTTATGGGAAGCCAGGGCACCTCAGTTTTCTTGCTTGCACGCGTTTCTTGTCATTTATGTGGATAAATAGCCTAAACCGTTTGTATATCGTACATCAATACAGGTTTGAAACTGATTTATATGTGCAGGTGTTTATCTGATGAGAGATCTGTTATCCTTCTTTACACGATGGTGCAAGGGAACTCTGCTTTTCTGGAGTATGTTTTGGTGCGGACAGACCTGGATACGTTGGTATGAACCCATAACAATAAGTTTGTCTTATAGCTTTATTGAAGTTTTTGTGATAATTAAATGAAAATGTGTCCAAAGGAGGGCACAACCAGGCTACTGAATGAAAAGGATTTCAAATGATTTGGCTCTTAAGAACTAGCCTGTTGTACTAGTTAAAATTTGTTTGCTTTGTTTTGATTTTCTTAGTGAATTTTCAGTTAATGCCTATGCTGGAGACTCTCTATAACGCATCAAGGAGGTCATCGAATCAAATTTACATGGTGCTAATTATCCTTCTTATACTTAGTCAAGATTCGTCATTCAATGCCAGTATTCACAAACTGGTAAGCACTGCTTCTGTGATCTTTTAACTAGCATCAAGATAGCAAGATAAGAATAGAGCTTTATTAATTTCCCTTGTAGATCCTGCCCAGTGTTCCATGGTATGAGGAGCGTCGCCTTCATCAAACATCTCTTGGGTCTCTTATGGTCATCATTCTGATCAGGACCGTGAAGTATAACTTATCTAAGCTGCGTGTATGATTTCTAGCTCCTCAACCAATCCTTTGCTCTTTTTCTCTTTGTTTTATTTATAATGTGTTGTCTTCTTGTCTACTTTTCTTTTTCCCTTCTTTCTTGTGTTAAGTTGTCTCTGGTTTCTGTGGAAACTATGCATTCAAACTGTTCTAGTATATACCTCTTTTGTCTGTTAAATACTAGATGTCATTTTGCGGCAATTTCCGTCACATGTACAAAGTTTAAGTGCCTGCATTTCTAGCTACCTCTTTTTGGCATTCTTAAGCTATGAAGCAGATGACTGGGTGTTACTTCTGTGTTGTATCCAGTATCTTACCTACTTATACTGATGTGAAGTATGTTTGTTCTCGGTTATTATAATTATTATATCTTTTTCATGTGTGCCCGTTGCTTATCGTTATCCTTTGCTTCCTGCTTCCTATCGTCATTAAAATCAGCTTGTAAATAATTGGAGAAGAACAACCTTGACATGACAAGTGACCACATCTTCTTTTCAGAATTTTTGAAAACAAAAGTAAAAGAATGAGCTGTAACTGTTCTATTTTTTATCAATTGGGATGAACTGATGTTTGGTGAACTCACTGTTAATATGTTAATTTCCTTAACAAAGAAAAGAAGAATTTTGTTATGTTCCTCACATGTTTGATATTGCAAGAAATTTACAAGGAATTTCAGTTACATTAGGTTCTGGTAGAGCTTTTGACTTCTATTGTGAAACAGGATGTTTATCTCCATACAAATTGCCTTGCAACTTTGGCGAACATGGCACCTCATGTCCATAGGCTTAGTGCTTATGCATCTCAAAGACTGGTCAGCCTTTTTGATATGCTTGCACGCAAGTAGGTTCTTCTCTGTTTAACTTTCTCAATGAGGTTTTTGTACAAGTTTTCATTGCATTCTAGCTTTCAGCCGCTTATCTGGAGTTTTATGTTTTGATATTTTCATCATTTTTCCCACTACAGGTACAACAAGTTAGCTGAAATGACTAATGACAAGATGCATATGCCTAATGGTGAATCGAGAGAAGAAGATAACCTCCCTGAAGATACGGTATTGAAATCTCATGTTCATCCTTTTTATGAGTTCTTTTCACGTGCCTTCTGCTTGTATGCTTTTTACCTCTTTATTTACTGGTTCTTTTGTTTGTGATCCTTCAGTCAGCAGAGTTACATATCTATACCGACTTTTTGAGAATTGTGCTGGAAATATTAAATGCAATCCTGACTTACACCTTGCCGCGGAATCCTGAGGTATCATTCTTTCCTGAAGTAATCAACATGATGCAAGAAAATGAGATAATGAACTTTTGGATAATTTATATAATCCGTATTTGTGTTTTGCAGGTGGTTTATGCAGTTATGCACAGGCAGGAGGTCTTTCAACCTTTTAGAAATCATCCACGATTCAATGAGTTGCTTGAAAACATATTTACAGTATGTGTCTGCTATAGAAATCTTTTGTTTGAGTATCAGTGTGCATTCAGCAAATCAGTTGTGAACTTCAATTAGAAGTTTCTGATATGTTTAATGTTGTAGAAAGGTTATTGGAGTGCGCTTTCACATTACAACATCTGTGTGCCTCATAGGTTTTGGACTTCTTCAATAGCCGAATGGATGCGCAGCGTGTGGATGGTGAATGGTCGGTGGAGAAAGTTCTTGAAGTTATAGTCATCAACTGCAGATCTTGGAGAGGTGAAGGCATGAAGGTGCGAAACATGTGCTTGTTCGTTTAGATTTAACTATTGTTTGATGTTACTTGCTTTTGAAAGTCTGTTAGTTTTTGTTGCAACTTAATATTCAACCATTTGCATATAACCTTGATCTCCTTTTCCTTTTCTTATCTCTCTCAACAGATGTTCACACAGTTGCGGTTTACATATGAACAAGAGAGTCATCCTGAAGAGTTTTTCATTCCGTACGTGTGGCAGCTAGTTTTATACAACAGGTAACGTATAACTCTTTTCTCCATTTTAATCCTCTCCATGTGACGAATACCGTTGGCCTAAAATCTGGGATCTACGTCTAAAAACATGCCCTTGTGTTTCTCATCCATTCCCTTTGGTCTCCTCAGCTTTCCAACTAGAGAGAAATTGCAAAAGATGAAGTAGAAACTATAATTTGTATCACCTACTGTGTTGATGTTCTATGACGTTACTTAAACTGTCAATTATGGACGGATTTGTTTCAATGTTGTCTGCATGAGTTAGTTCTCTGTTTAAGACAGTGGTAGTACGTTTCTAAATTTCTTCATTAACATTCAACTTCTTTAGATATTCAATTTTCTGATAACGTATGTTCTACTTTACATTGCAGCACTTTTGGTTTCAACCCGAGCAGCATTAATTTATTCCCTGTGGACCTGCCTCTACAAGTGAGTTTCACAGTTCAATATCTGGCTCTTTATAAACATAAATTTTCATTACATCAGATAGTAACCACCATAAATAAACTATCTGAACATGAGTAATATTACATTTCACGCAATTTAGTAGATGAGTTGATTATTGCATAAGCTGTAGTCTCTTATGAATATATTGTGTTTCTGTTTGTTCGGAGAGGTCATGTTTGACATATGGTTTATACATGTGATACTTTGATTGTATATAAAAATGATCTTTCATCCAAACGCTGTTACAAATTTATACATTTGAAACAGGAGATGGGAGAGGTGGAGACGGAGAAGCTTGAAAATGGTGTGCTTGATGGACAAGAGCTTCAGGTGCAGGTGGAGAAACTAGTGTGACAGACAAGGGTAACCCTGGCTATGGCTTGAAGATGGCGGTTATTGTAAATAGATACAGCTATATATAATAGGGTAGATAAAATTTTACTTCCATTCTTTCTGTTTATACATCCATGACCATGAGCGTAGAAAAAGCCCTGAGTGTTTCTTTCTTCTTTCTTTTTTCCCCGTCTCCCATAGAGGTAAATGTCATTGTAATGAAATAAATATATTAGATAGAAGAACTCGATCGAGCACAGTAAGAGAACACCAGGTTATTGATTTCATTACCGCATTCCGCCCTATTCAATTGGTTTTCCTATTCCCCACGTCTCTCTTGATCTGAAATGATTGTCCAAATTATACTTTCATTTTTAGATTGTCTAGTTTGGATTTTAATTTGGAGTTTGGACAATCATTTAGGACAGGAAATAGTGAACAATGAATGGAGAAATTGCTGGTATTCACTTGCGACGTGAAAAGGTTTCCTTTATTTTTCTTTTTTTCGAAGAAAATAGAATTGAAAAGATTTTCATTACAAATTTACTTGTCTAAAATTTGAAGAGGTTGAGAAGGGGACGGATCCTTTTGCAATTTTTTTTGAATCGTGTCATGAATACCATCCTTGTTTTCTTCTCATTGATCTTCTTGAGGATTATTTCTTTCGTCTTTAGTGTAATGATTTTAGTACTTACTTTTGTTACAGTATATTACTCATTCTGTCCCAAAAAAATAGTCCTAAATTATTTATTTTTTGGGACGGAAGTAGTAATAATATAGCAAACCCGGTACAATACTAACAAGACGGCGAGTCAAATACAGAATAATAATTGATTCATTCATTAAACAAGAAATTTTCATTCATTAAACAAGAAATTTCTGGGTGTGTTTATTAGCTGATTCAGTAATACTACTCACTCTCACTGGGTACATTTTGTAGCTTTTCAATGCGTTGTTTCTTCACCTAAAACACCTTAGTGTACACGATTTTATGCTAAAGAGATCTAAAATCATTTTTTCATCTAGACAAGGGCACTGCCTTTAACGTATTCAGTAAACGCAAGAGCGATTAAACCCAACATAGCAAATCGACCATTCCACAATTCAGCATCAGAGTTCATGAACCCTCCGGTCTCAGATTCTGCCCTCACTCCTTTAAACAGAGGAATCAACGATGCCAGAGACAACAAAACGCTTGTCCCGAGGAACCATTGGAATCCTCCATCGTTGATTTGGGAGAACAGATCTTGTCCCTTTGCGAGTTCCACACCCATGGCAGCTACAAATCCGATCATAGCTAGACGGCCGTTAATCCTCTCCGGCCCAGGTCCCCCGAAAGCAAGAATGTCTTCAAATTTAGTGCTCGCCTGAAAAATTGGAAGAATTCATTAGAACCCATTTGGAAAAGTCTCAAGAATCATGCAGTAATGGAGGATTATTAGAGTTTTAGAACTAATTAATTACCTTTTGATTTGGAGTAGGTGTTGGCGGGGTGAGTTTGGGAATTTCAGGGGATTTGGTTTCTGTTTCCTTCTCAGTGTCCTGCAAGGAGAATCTCTATCAGCTCCCAAAAAAGATATTAATCACGATCAACATAGAAATCATCGAAGGATGAATTATTAAACTTACCTCAGACATGCTTCTGATTTTCATGGTGTTGAATCTTTTGGGAAGATTAATGTAACCAATCTGTTTCATCCCATTGCTGGCTGGCAAACGGGCAACAGGGCTACCAACAAATGACTGCATCATGGTTGCTGAAGTAGCTACGGCCATTTCTTCCTCACTTAGAAAAACAGAACAAAACTAAGGAAAGAATGAGAGGACTAACAATTAGCTCAAACAAGGGATGAAAAATAAGCAGCTTTAGAATCTGTGGAATGAAGGCTTAGAAGATTGATCAGATTACAAATGAATCGGTTGATACGAACTATGCAAAAGGGAAGTTGGGTATAAATAGTGCATGAAAGGAAGCAAGGTGGTGGATATTTTAGGATCCACGTAGTAAGGTTTGGGTCTGATAAAAGTGTCCAAGTCACGTGGGCTGAATCTTGTGGTTTGGTGGAATACATTGGCTTTGTGGCAATCAGCAGAACCAGAAAAACGCAAAAATGAAAAAAATTTCAAAATTTGGGTTTAGAGGTCTAGATTGTTCTAGGTAGTAGTAAAAAAGAGCAATGAGTGGGCCAATTTTTGGGTGGTACTTTCTAGTGTAATTTTTTTTTTTTTGTGCTAAACGACGAACCACGGAGGACTCTTTTCTTTGCTTTTTCTTCTTTTTTGGCTTCCATGGTTTTGGAATCATTTTCACATAAAGCTCAATTCAATATGAATTTGTACACCAGAATTTGTCATGTACAATTGTACATTCATCGAAATGGAATAGGTGGATATGTGGTAAAATGAGGGACACGAATTTAATCAAAGGAAGTAGTTGTGTTATGTGAAGCATTACAAATATGTTTTGCAAATGAAATGGAAGACTATTTAAAATGTATGAATTGTTATGGAGTTTATGTTTTGTTTTTTGTTTTTGGTTTTTTTTTGTGTTATGCTAAGTACATTTACTTGGCGCAAAACGGTATAAAAACTTCAACATAAATGGTTATTCATGTATGGAACTCGGCTCCGTATGATCATCATCATATACTACCATATATAGAAATCACTTTACAAATTACTTTCTCGGTCTTAAAATTATTGTCCAATTTAGATTTTATTTTTTAATATAAATAAAACTAAAATCAAAATTCAAACTAGACAATAATTTTAGAACAGATAAATTTCAGTTTAACGGTGAGCATTGCACAGCAATTTGTGGTGAGATTTTTGGCCAACATCATTACTCATTAGTCATTAGTTTTCCAATGCCGTTAAAAAATTGCTGGCTAGATAAGGCAGGGGGGATAAATAAACACAAAAAACTAACTACGTTAAAAGTAAATCGTTAGTCTCTTTCATTTTCTTATTGCATAACGTAAATTCTCGATTTTCCTGTTCTCCCCAACCATTTCAATACCCTTACAATTTGATTGTGATTGTGGAAGCTTCAGCCACGTTTGAAGAAACTAAAATTGGTGAAAGGTGGGGAGAAAAATTAATGGAAAGTTATATTTGTATATAAAAGGTACCAAATTGTTTAACGGGTAACTCTTCATGTTTTCTTTACTCTTTAATATTCCCGTTATATCAAAATTATTATTCAGTTTGAAATTTCAATTTTAATACATTTTGAACTAAAATAAAAATCTAAACTAGACAATAATTTTGAGACTGGACAAAGACGTAATAAACGAGTTAATCAAGTTACTACTGCAGCAGTAGCATATCTAAAATGAAAATACAGTGGGGGCCATAACATATTGTCATATATTATAATTTTGTTTTATTGATGATTAATATGTATAACCAAATTTTAAAAACAAAACATATAGGGGAAGAATGAAATATATCAAACTAATTTAGTACAAAATACAGAGAAATACACTTGGGTCGTAACCAATTTTTATACTTATTGCATTTGAGGGTAAACTATTTATCAATTTATAAAAAACTGTAGATTGTCAGAGCCATTTTAGCCCCCATAGTAAATTTTACACATTTTTCTGAAACTGCCCTTAATGTGGTCAAACTTATCTTTCCTTATCTTTCTAATCCGCAGTTAATCACAAATAAATTTTTCCGATACTGTCTCTCTAGCTCTCTCCCTGCCGTCGCCTCTCCCTTCCCCTCCAAAATCAATATATTTTCTTCGGTGGTTGTAAATCAAAGGTTTTTGTTTCCTTTAATTGTGTTGTTATTAGTTTGGTCATAATTTTCTTTCCTGGCGTGCGGTGGGCTCTTTCGTTTGGTTTTGGATACCATAAGCAATGAAAAATTTAATTTCTATTGTATTCTATTGGTAAGCTGCTTTCTTCAATTCGAATTGATCCTCCATTAATATGGTGGAATTTTATTTAATTCTCTTTTATTATTACTTTGTGAGAGAATAGAATCAATTGTGAGAGAAAAGTTATATTAGCCATTGAAATTTGTTTGCAGGTTGATTTTGAGAAAATTAAATCCTAGTTATCAGGGCTTATTATATACGAACAGTTCGTAGAAATGATGAAATGCTTGCTTCTCTACCAAACTATGAAAATTTGTTTGATCCTTGAATACATGGATTCAAGAATTCTGTGGTAGTTTTGTATTCTGCAACCTTTGGTCCAAGGACAACGACTAATTATTTTTAATCCACATCCCACATACTGTATTCTCTTTCAATGAGATCTATTTGATGACAATTGTCTTTTGTCATAAACAATCTATGAGAAGTTTTGTTTCTTTGGAGAAAACATAATTGGAATCCGAAATGGAGAGTTTGACACAAAGATAATAGTTTTATTAAGGGTAAATTTAGAAGGGAAAAAAATTATATTTGCTCTGGAGACTAAAAATTGTTTTGATAATATCGCTAGCCTTTATAAAAATATCATATAAACTATACATATCCATATATGATAAAAATGTTATTCAACTATGAACCTAATATCTAATTTTTCACATTTTTTTTTCATCAATGTTATAACTTTAGAACTCTTTCCACTAGTAAATGAACCAAAAAGAATAACTTTAGAACTCTTTCCTAAAAATGCAGAATAACCATTTTCCGTACCAACACGTATGCCAATCCAATTCCACATGAAATTTGGGTTTTTTTTTTTTTTTAATGAGCCCAAAATGTGCAACATATAATTATTAGTTGAAACTGAAACTAAAGAAATTGTTAAAAAGTTGTTTGTTTATTTTGAATCATAAAAAAAATACTAATAATATATAAAGGTTTAGGGTGGGACCAGTGGGGGCAATGGCCCCACCCTAAATCCGCCATTGAATATAAGAGCTATTTAATTGCGAAAATTGTACTGTTTGAAAAATATAATCTATATTAAGTTTTGAGATTTATACTGTTTTTACTAAAAATTTAATACAGATTATTTTTTGAGGCAGGGTAATATTAATTTTTAATCCCAAAAGAAATTTTAAATAAATTAACAATAAGAAAAGAGTCATCAACCTCATCGTAAAGTGCTAGTTACTACTTCGTACTTTGACTTTACCGTGTGCTATTCTATTTTACTGTTACATGTTTGTTTGGGCCGACTCATATTCAGTCATGGACTTACTAGTATAAAATTCTAAGCCCATCATTTCATAAAAAGAGATGAAAATGCGAAAGAGTCCATTCTATCCCGCGCTATAAATTCTGCCGAAAACTATTCCCCCAATTCAAATTGCATTTTCACGAAAGGTTCATTTCCCCGCTCTGTTTCTCTCTCCTCTCTCTCCCAAATCAGCGACTCACGCATTTCTGACTCCAGTTCCAGACGATCAACCATGGCGATGTTAGCTTTCAAGTGATCTTCGATTTTTTTTTCTCTGAAGTTTCAAAATTTTTGAAGTTATCATCTCGTAATCCAGTTCTATTTCGAAGAATCCTCCGACACTTTGTTTAATTTTCTTCGTTTATTTGAATTTGGAGCTCAGGTCCGAAGAACACCTACCGCTCGTTGAAAGAGAAGAGATAGAAGATGAAGAAGACTTGTTCGAAGCTATTGATAAACGTAAATTCTCACCTCTCTTTATTTATCGCTTTTTTCTTTTGTACGTGTGCAGTTTCTTAATTCTGAAACGGTCGATAGTATCTTTTCAATGCTATTCGTCGGTTTATTTGATGAACTAAATTATTCTGTTCATTCGTAGCGATTTATGGTACTGTGAAGTGCTTTGAGTTTTGGAGTTTGCATTTTTTGAAGTGATCTGCTCACTGAACAGAATTTCTTACTATTTTGAAGATACTTGTGCGATTTCTTGTCATCTGATGTGTATTCTTTGCTGAGTTTTCAAGCTAACGGCGGATCGGTTGAAAATAAGTTCATGTTAACTGAATTTCGGAATTGTATGGACAAATTTTTGCTTAGAGATTTGGTTTATTTGATGCATGATCGGTTTTTCTTCTGGTGTTCTCTCTGCTTTGTGAAATATTAAGATCTACTGCTTAGTGTGATTTACAACGATCGTGCAAAAAGGAAAGAGACAGAGAAATGTATCGTTGACATTTAAGTTATGCTGCGGGTCTGCTTCTGAAAATTCTCTGTTGTTTGCTTCAAGTTTATCAGCTGAATTATCACGCATTTGTTGGTGCAATTCCCTGCCTATAACAATCTGAAGTTAGATGGTGTTTGATGGCTAGCATGACTGTTAAATATGCTTTTCAGTTATTTAACTCACACTCGGTAAGTAATTGAATCTGATCTAGATTGTGAGGTATGTAGATATTAATAGCTTAAAATTATGTGTTCCTTCTTGGACAAGCTGTCTCTCCATTTTCTGAAACACTCTTCTCAAAGATTTTGTGTGTTTCTTTTGAATCCTGTTCTTTCCGTGCATTGTATAATTTGAATTGAGTTTTGAATTCCCCAAAATCTGAACATTATTGGAAGCCAGCATGAGTCCAGTTTGCAGATAATGCAAAGCTCACAAACTTTTTGTGGCAGTGATTAATCACGGAATCAATGCTGGGGATGTCAAAAAGCTTCAGGATGCAGGAATCTTCACCTGCAATGGCTTGATGATGCAAACAAAGAAGGTTAAAATGAATGCATAGATACTCATACGACTCTTCAAGCGTCTCAATGAATTTATACATACTGACTTGTTTCTTGTACAGAGCTTGACAGGAATAAAGGGTTTATCTGAGGCAAAAGTTGAAAAGATTTGTGAAGCTGCTGAAAAGATAGTGGTAAGAAATTTAACTGTACCACTAAATTCAGACTTTCTGTTTAGCAGTATCAGAGTATATATGGCATCCTTCAAACTGATACTATCTTATCTTTTTCAGAATTTTGGATACATCACTGGAAGTGATGCTCTTCTGAGAGTAAGTAATATCTTACCCTGCTAGTTTTAATTTTGCACAGTATACAAAATAAGTAATGATCAATCTGCTAGCATTTGTTGATGCTGTCTTTTATATACCTATCTAATTGATGTTGTCCAGAAGTTGTAATCTCATATACAATTATTGTTTGTTGAAACAGAGGAAAGCAGTTGTTCGCATAACAACTGGCAGTCAGGCTTTAGATGAACTCCTAGGAGGTAAACTCTGAACTCCTAAGGAATTGTTTCCTTCTTTCGTTTTCTTTCATAAATCGAAGATGCAATAAGAGCTCCTTCCTAGTTCTGATTGTACTTTTGTTAATTTAAATAGGTGGAGTTGAAACACTTGCAATCACAGAAGTCTTTGGGGAATTCAGGTGAGGACTTCATGCAACTTCTCTTTTGCTTAAATGCTGGTATACTTTCATTCTAACTCTCTGCTCACAATGTCAGATCTGGGAAAACACAGCTTGCCCACACACTGTGCGTTTCTACACAGGTCTGCATCTCAGCAACTGATTAGATGTAGCTAGTATTAGGCTTTTGAAAGTAAAATCTTGTTTTTTCTTTGTATAATGTTGCGGCTCCCTCAAATGTTTTGTGGTTGTAGATAATTTAAGCATTAATTTAAGAATTTGGCTGTTGGAGTTAATTTGATTCATCTGTCTGATATTTTCAGCTTCCCACTAGTATGAGAGGCGGCAATGGAAAGGTTGCTTATATTGACACTGAGGGGACTTTGTATCCTTCCTGATCAGCTTACAAGTTTACTCAGAATACTTTTATGCAGCGCATCTGTTAATCACAGAAGCTGTAGACCTGTCGTTTCCCTTCCCTTGAATGTCCCCTTGACTAAATTCACTACAGCCGACCTGATCGTATTGTTCCAATTGCTGAACGATTTGGCATGGATCCAGGAGCTGTGCTTGACAATGTAAAGTGTTTTACTCTTGCAACTCATAACCTGTTCTTCTGGAGTAGATTTATCAGTCATCAGTTATGTCTAAGTGGAGAATTAATTGGTTTCTTTCCTCTTGACTAAAGATCATCTATGCCCGTGCGTACACATACGAGCATCAGTATAATCTACTTCTTGGTCTTGCTGCCAAAATGGCTGAGGAGCCTTTTAGACTTCTGGTAAGTTTCTGCAGTTGCAACATTAGTGGTTCAATTCTGGAGTGGTTGTTCATTTGCTTGAAATGGTATTTTCAGATTGTTGATTCAGTGATTGCTCTATTTCGAGTTGACTTTACTGGAAGAGGAGAACTTGCAGAAAGACAGGTATGCTGAAGAGTTTCTGAACTCTTAATAATTCCTCTGGATTTCTGTTAAATTAGTATCCTTAGTTCAAGTTTTACTTCAACTTGGCGTGATTGCTGTTCTTCAAATAAATTTGGAAAGGCAAAAAGAAGTTAGCTAACCTAGTTTCATCCTCATCCCCATTATTTTCTTTTGTGCAGCAAAAGTTGGCTCAAATGCTCTCTAGGCTGATAAAGATTGCTGAGGAATTCAATGTTGCTGTATACATGACCAACCAAGGTACTCAATCAGAAACCTGGTTCTATCTCAATATCTTATTTTCTATTCCCTTTTGTTCAAGTCAAATTGTGATTCTCTTGGTGTTCCCCGTCCTTTTCATTTTCAAACATTGATGTAAATGTTAAGAGAACTACATTTCAGTCTCTTAGTTGCCAAATGATATTGGTCTAAAAGATTTGAAATGAACTCGTTTTTTTGCAGTTATTGCTGATCCAGGAGGTGGTGTTTTCATTTCTGATCCAAAGAAGCCAGCAGGAGGACATGTTCTTGCTCATGCTGCCACAATTAGGTTGATGTTCAGGAAGGGTAAAGGTGAACAACGTGTCTGCAAAGTCTTTGATGCGCCTAATCTTCCTGAGGCCGAAGCTATATCCTTACATCTGTTCTTGAATATTTACATTATGTCTGTCCATTCTAACTCTTCTTTATCCAAAAAAAAACAGCCATTAATTGGATTCATCCTTGACAGAAGCACGTTTTTCAGATAACACCAGGTGGAATAGCAGATGCTAAGGACTGAGAGTACTTCAAGATTAAATCTGTGCTGGTGGAGTGAATATCTATTCTAACTATCTTTCTAGTAATTAAGTTTCACAAGTGTACATGTAGTTGCATTCCGCTACTGTTGAGACAATTACGCTTATTTACTGCAAGCACACCTGTAACACTACTTATATCAGCTGCTTTTTAAGTTTGTCAAGGCTAGTATAAACTATCTCTGGGCTTTTACTGAAAGTATGTTCTAATTCCCATATAAATGAATGTTCCATTTGCTGAAACAATAGCAGGAAGTCAGAAGGAACAATACTAAGCATATCGGAAAAATTATTCCAGCAATGGGATGCATGTAAAGTGGTACTATTATTCACACATGTCTTTGGACCAAGCAATGGCCATGTAGGTTTAAAGAGGAATAAAACTGTGAAATGAAGTAGTTAAAGAAGCACTCCTTTAGCCACATCAAGTAGATCTCTTCTCACTATTTTTCAAGTACAAATCCTGCGTAGGAGGCTATGACCATAAACCCTAAAAATGAATGGTCAGTTTAATAGTTCTGGGACCAGTTTGCAGCACTTCCAACCCTTGGTATGCCAGTGGTTTCCTTCTTAGCTTCAGCATCCACCTTAAATGTTGCACCGCAGACTTCTCCTGAGCTGTCAACCCTTGGCACTGGTTTCAATTCATTGAGGGGATGCTCGTAACTTCTCAGTCCTCCAGAAGATGTGAAGAAGCATCCTGAAAATAACAATACAAGGGATTAGGTTCAGTATGGTCCAGATATTTTCAAAAGCTATGACAAGGGCATCTACCAAATTGTCAAATAAGGAAACCCGACGATGGAAAAGCTCAATACATAAAGCACATATTGTCACTACATCACTATGTATCCACCACCGAAATTGACCATCTATCGAAAGCATAATGTTATTCAAACAATCCTAATACAATACTGTTATATGTAACTTTAACTTCAGTTTGTTCCATAAAACGTGAGCTTTGAATTTCAGACCCAATCATTTACCTTTGGGAAATGGTGCAAAGGATTTGCCACAGCCTTTCTTCACAATCTCTGAATCAGTGGAGAGGACAAGATGCCCTTCAGAATCAGCCCCCCAGTAGAAAGGTACACTGCCTTCAGAGTCCTATAAGCAAACAAAAATATGATGAGATTCATAAGACTTGCATCATACAAAAAACTAATCTATGGAATTAGAAGGACATATAGGAGAACGAAGGAGGAGAACTATCAAGACTGCATTGCTACAGAAAAACAGGAAACGCTAACCCCCGACCCCCAATCCCTCTCCACCCAAAACTAGAAAGAAGAAGGTAACTTACACATGCCACAAAAGCAGATTTTGCAGAGCTGTCGAACAGGACAAATGCAAATTTCCCCTGAATACCTCTCACGACCTGATCAGGAGGGTAAGGACCTCTGTCCCTCAAGGTCCTGTAAGCCTCAATGACAATTATGACTTCATTTGCCACCTTATTCAATCCATATTGCTGCTTAAGCTGTGCAACATTTTCAATGTGCCCTTGGAACAAACAAAAGATGTCATCCACAACAGCAAACAGCCTGCTCAGAGATATAAAATAGAAATGATTCCTCCATTGATGCATGGAAAAAACAAAGAAAGAGACAAAAAGAGCAACTATAATTCCAAACAAAACACCTAATATTCTGATTTAGATAGGATAAATAACCTGTATTCCGTAGCTCTCATACATAAAACAGGACAAAAAATGCAAGCACAACGCACTAGATATCAAACATCATAATAGTGTTTTAAAATTTTCATAGCATCAGAAAAGCCAAGCATTCCTGAATAAGCCACATCCACTACAAATCTCAAATACAGTATATAAATCCCCCAAATAAAATGCAAAGTAGAGGTTAGAAGTAAGAGAACAATGGAAGTTTATAATAATCGATCATGATAACAGAGTATGAACCTCCTTGGGAATAATTCACAAACAATCTAACCTTCATCGAACAAAAGAAATGAAGAAAACAACTAAGCTTGATCAGGAAAGCCAGAACCCTTTTTCTTTTAATTAATATTATTAATTAACTGAGATAGCTGCCAAAAGAATCAAACTTATTAATCAGGGAGACAGTCACAAATACAGACAAACACAACTCCATTTCTACCCTAAAAAAATACCTACAACTACTCATCTTCAAGAACAAGAGAAAAGGCAGATTATAAACTCAAAAGTCAATGGGCTTGACCAATCCAGACACTAGAAGGAACTGAAAAAAGGTAAGAGGCGAAAATTATTTTCCCCTAACAAGCCAGAGAGAATCGGACAATAAGCGACAAACTAAAATCCAAGAAATTAACAAAAAAAAAAAAAAAACAGAGATGGAAATCTAAAAAAATCGACATAGGCCAAATAAAGATCTACCCATTGTCATCCCTTTCAACTTAATTAAATCAAGACAAAAGGATCAAACAAATGTCAAAGATACAAGAGATCACAGCTGCAAGAAGATCAACTACAGAACAGATCAAGATGAACCCAAGTTTTTTCAACAGGAATCGATAAAGTGAGATACAGACCTGGGAAGCAAAGGGTTTTGCTTGTCACTGGAGTAGGCCAAGAATCCTGCAGAACCCAGATTGATGATGACGGAAGAAGGGTGGGAAGAGGAGAAATTCTGCGCCAAGAACCCATCTTTTAGGGCACAAACTGACTCGGTATTTGGTGACTGCAAGGCCTCTGGGCTTTTCGCCACTGATTTATCAAAAACAGCCAACATTTTTCTTGATACTTCTTCTCGGTTTCGGGTTTCGACAAGGGATTGTGGCGATTGAAACTGTTCTGTGTTTACTCGGAAAGATTATTAAAGATTTAAGATAGGAAGGAGAATAAAGGGCGATGATCGAGTGGTTTTTATAGTTTTGATTTTTGTCCCTGAACTACACAACTTGCTTCGAAATTACACGTCAATTTTCTGGCTTATTTGCACAAAAATGATTGGACAGTGGCATTTTTTCCTTTTCCCAAAAAAAAGCCTTTTTTTTAATCTAAAATGAGATGTCAACTAATAAGATTATTCAAACTATTTTTTCGTAATTAGTGATGCTAAATCGAGAAAGTTAGGTTTCTTATCATCAAAAAGTTAGTGCATTATCTGTATATATAAAAAAACGATTAAAAATACTCCTTAGTCGTTGCTAACTGTATTTGTAAGATAATTAATCTTATATAAATGTATAATGAAATATAGGATAAAACGAAGACTTGTTTATCAAGAAAGCTGAATATTACGGATTATATCCAAAAAACAATACACATTACGTGGTTAATCAAGGGAAGAGCCGTGTGAGACCAAGTAAAAGCAATCTCGAAATGCCGTTTTTTTTTTAATAATAATGATAAGGATAATGAAAGAAATTAAGGAGTATGATTAGAGAGTCAATACATGTAAGCCCACTACATCTCCCTTTCAGTTTCCACAAATCTATGGGCCAAACCCAACAAAGGACAAGAGAAAAAGACTGAAAATGTTAAAATAGACCCAAGCCCCATAGATAAATAAATAATTTATTTCTTCTTTAGAATAATAAATGAGAAATGATAGTCCCAGCGAAATATTTTTAACGAAGCTCAACGAATCTGATGTGGATGAGTGAGTTGGCCAACTAGCTACCCCACTTCTTCACTTCTTCTCTCTAATCTCTCCCTTTTCCATTTGTTCCTAAAACCAAGCGTTCATAATCTTATAGATCTCGATTGGTTACTAAACAATGATAGCAAAATATGTCCATCAAATTATAGAGTAAGAGGAGTATAGAGTAAGATGTGGAAATCGGATGTAATTAGTTTCTAACTTTCTCTGGAAAACAAATGAGATGTATTTTTTCGTTAAAGAAAAAGAAAAAGAAAAGTTACGGAAAATTAATAAGTAATTGAAGTGGGGCAGCTGTTGGCCAACTCATCAATCCACATCAGATTCGTTGAGTTTCGTTAAAAATATTTCGCTCGGACTATCATTTTTCATAATAAAAAATATAGAAACTAAATGTAATCTTGTAGAATTTCTATATGTTCAAAAAATGAGATCCTCATGAAATAAGCAAGCACTTCTTCAACTTTGGGGACAATACGAGGGACATACTTCACTTTTTCGAACAATGAGGAACTCCGAACTCGTTTGATTCGAGGAAGCATTGCCAAGCAAGCCCAACTTTGTCAAAAGCAATTGGTTCATTTGATCCGTACTCAACAAGTGGATAGTTGAACCCATTAGATTTTTATTTTTTTTTTCATCTCAAAACGATTATCGTATTTAAATGGCAATATGATTAAGAGTTGTCACACTTCTAAGTAAACTCACAATCCGTAAGAATTAAGATGTTGCTCATACGGACTAAAAGCATGAGTGAATGACACTATCTGTTACATAATCAATGAGCTTATGAAGTCGTGGTCCAACTAATGCGGTACTCTTGAATCCAAAATCAGAAACCGAAATGATACAGAGGACTAATTCCTAGCAAAGAAGCTAACAAAAGTAATCAAACACGAGTTTGAGCAACTGATTTGCTGGACAAACGTCTTAAGTAGACCTAAAGAGAACTTGCAAGGGTCAACAAAATGTACTCAGCGACTGGTGTAAAATATGATACGCTTCTGAGTATGATATCTATACTGAGAAACAAGTTATAACACTTGAACCGAAAATCGTTTAACAAGGCCAGGAATAAGTTTCCCTTCATAGCAACAGTGAAAGACAATAACATATTCTTTATCTGCATCGGCAGTAGATGAAACAAGCTAAAATGGCAAGTGATGGCAAAGGGTAGCCGCAAGCAAAGTATGTACGTTTGGCTTTTAAGAAGAAGCCTCAATTTAGCCACTTATCCAAAGGTTGTCAGAACCCTCGGAAGATCTACGAACATTTGGCATATGATCATCATTTCTGCTTCCACATATTTGCGCTTTTCTGCAACTGTCAAATATCAAGCTCCTCCCCTCTAATGTTAGATGTAAACTAATAGCGTTTCTCATATCAAAATACTGATTGCATCTTGACATCATGGCCTTCAATGTTGAAGGTGTTTGGAAATAATTGTGACAAAAAACCATGCTCCTGACAAAAAATATCTATACATGAGCCATTGCAATACTATATCCCTAATTTCTCAAACCTTCTAAAAACCTCACAGAGACGGTCTTTTCATACTATTCTCATCTCCAGAGCACCTACTCAAAAATAGTGATTTAGTACACTCATTTTTGCAATGTGTTCATTTTCTAACTTCTAAGTATGATATCTAGATTCTAGAAATTTGATTGGCAAATCCTAACACCAGCAGCATGACACGATGAAGTAGGCCAAAAGTAGAGCATTTAGCAGACATGCATAATTCACATTGATTATAAGAACAAAGGCCTTACTATGGTGATGACGAGCATCACATGCCTTCAAGTAGTTCTGTTAGACCCAACAGGTTACAATGCCTCCCTTAGTTCAGCGATTTTTGACATTGATTGGATGCAAATGTGCTGTTAGACAAGGAAGAAAACTAAGTGCAAGCAACAATAAATTCTAAAAAAAAAAACAATTCACATAATTTAAAGGCCATGTCATCTATCACCAAAACTGAAGGAAGCCAAAGGCTCTCAGATGAAGAAACAGCTAGAATTTCATAGGGAAGCGAAACAACCGGTTTCACCAGGGAATCAAGATGCTGGATCCCAAAACAAATTCCAAACAGAACAATATAGTTGTCAAATAATCAAAACATGACTAACAAACTTATTCGTTGGTTCTAGTGATTCACAGATCAAACAACATATGATATTCAATAGTAACCAAGAAAGAGTACTAATCACATGCTATTACTGCACAAATCGTAAACTTTGAATCCTTAAGCACCCAAGCCCAGCTGATCGCGTTTTAGAGATTAATTCCTACTTTCCAACACAGTGGCTTAGCCAGAATCATCCATCATTGTACTGAATTACTATCTATAAAGAATTTCAGAAATCTACTAAGGAGTTCATAAAAAAAAAAAAAAATCTGCTAAGGAGTGGCAACTAAGACTTGAACCACCAGATTCTCATATCCAGAACTCAAAGAGAAACAGAGGAATTCATAATCTCCGAGTAAAATATCAATCACAAGACTATTTTACGGACAAATTTTGAAGAATCCCACAAGTATGTTTAAGTTACCGAAGATGGAATTATTGTAATAGAACAAGGGCAACACAGAGCTAACGTATATGAGTTCAGACAAATTTTATCATTAAAAGATTAAAGGTTTACAAAATACCTAAAAACAACTCACATTATGATTTCTCACCGGCCGTTGACATTCCCATCCTTTTTAGCCATAGCGAATTACAGAAACTGGAAAGTAGAGTGCAGTTGATATCTCATCACTTTCCACCGCCGCATCTAATGAAGGAAGGAAAGGAAGGTAAAGGGGAAGAAGAAGAAATCGGATGGATAAAGTTTTTCAAAATAAGATCTATTGCTTGGTTTATTTACAACATGCCACCGTCCCCAAAAATAAACGACAAAAGGAACGAGACCTTTTTGACTTGTTGTCTGTAGATGAGTGTAATTAATAGAGAGACTTTTTCTTCTTTCCTTCTTTCCTTCACTCACTCATGCACTAGAAGCAAGCTCCTCTGAAGCAAAGCCTTCCGTCGTCACCTTCCTCCGGTGAGATTCTCTCCTCTTCCAAAAGTTTTTTTTTTTTTTTCAAAGTTAATTTTTTATTCTTAACATCCAAATGCAACGGGAAGAAGGGATTTTTCTTGGTCTAAAATGTCAAAATTGGTCTTCAACTTAGGATTTTTTTGGCTTTGATTTTTCTTGGTAAATCACTTTAAAACTGCTCTTATTTGTGTATCATTTCTTGTTAACGACAGGTATAGACGGAATCTGGCAACCAAAATAATACGGTAAGTAAATTTTAGGTTGAAAGGTTTGAGCTTGTAGCTCTCTTTGTGTGAAAGGTCTGACCTTTTTGCTCTGTTGTTTCTAAGGTTCAATTTTATAAATTTTTAATGGAACAAAAACTTGATAATTGCAAACATAAATAGAAATATTTTAAGTTAAAATCTAAATTAATCTTTAAACTAATTTATTATTTTAGGTATCTATTAATTTATGAAATTGTAGGGACCTATATTTACACAGGAGATTCTTGAAAAATTATTATTTTATAAATTAATCGATTTTATTTTTCATTTTTTTTGTAGTAGTCCTGAGTTGGAACCGAAGAAACATATTATTTAATAGAGATTATTAATTAATAGAAGATTACTTTAGAAAGGTTTTACTGTATATAGTAATGTTGATATACTAGCTACTTACCTCGAGTCTGAAGACTCGACTTTCAATCTTGGGTTTCAATGTCAAATAGATGTAGGATTGTCTGCATTCCTATAGTAAGAATCATTAACAGAGCGATAGATTATATACTTTCCCTATCCCAAAAAATAGTCAACTTTGTTATAATAAAACAATACAACAAAAGTGGACTACATATAGGTCGGAAGAAACTAAATGAAAAGAACAAAAGATTGACAACACATATTACATTGTAACAACTATCTTTTTGAACAATTGGATACGCAACTTATCTAGAGCACATATTTCTTAAGAACTTTTTTCATATAAGTGGATGGACCAAATAAATAAATAGGGGTCTCTCACAGTCTCATGCAAAAGAAAATTGGCAATATAAAGAAACAGAGGAGAATTGCAGAGTCGAACGTCGTCCTAACATCAGGGTTCCGATCTCGGCGAAGACCAAAGCTCCGGTCAATCGCAATCGCTCATTGAGCTCAATCCCTTTTCTGTAAAGTAAGTATTAATCTCTGATTTTGCATTCTTTTCCCTTCATTTCCTTCTTCGTAGAGATATTAGCAAAAGAGGAAATCCCACTAACTTGCACCATGTGTCTCCTCCTTCTGTCTTGTTCCTTCGCCGCCACTAATCTTCACATTTTCAACCGAGCAGAACCAAATATGAATTTCATCAGCAAGTAAGATTTGTTAATTTCTATTTCGATTTGTTCTAAAGATGACATTTTTCGAATGTTTTTTTAAGGTTCTAAAAGGTTTGAACTTTTCCTGATTTTTTATAACTTTTCATAGGATTCAAGCTATGTTCACCAACATTTCCAATGCTATGTCACTCTACCTGGGCTTTTCTGGTTCGAAGGAGATGTCCAAGTTCAAAAAAATGATTGAAGACTTGCATGAGCTTCAACTTGAGCAGGTGGTTTAACTTTGCCGGAGTAAAATGCTTCTGATTACTTTGTTCAACCTGATTTCTATAGCCACAATTTTGTTTTGTGAATTCCCCCTTTTGGCAGAGGTATGTAGTGTGTAACTCGTTTCTTTATGGGAAATTGAAGAGCAGAAACACTGGAGCTGATAATACAAATCCATACAGTCTTTAGGTACTACTAATTACTACCTTTGTATCTTAATTTATAAAAGTGTGGATTTGTATTATTCATAGACTGATCGGTTGTATATTGGCTTAATAATTGTCTAAAACAATTGTAGACTATTTTGGCTGTACACATAGCAATTAATCCAAGTGGTGCTGCCCAAGTTCCATTAAATGAGGTAAAATTTCCTATATTTCACTTTTTTTTTCTTCTTTGTATTAATTACAATGACTATAATTGTCCACAATCATTCATTTTGTTTGTGTTTTTCCCCCTTCTCTTAGCTTTTTGTTTGGGCATACGAGTATGTGTATGAGGTGACGCTTTAGCTGGCCCTCGAAGACTGCACCTATACTTTGCCGAATATGGTATGTGTAATTTACAATGTATCCTAAATCTATATATATAGTCCAAAGATTAAAACAAAGTTGATTCCTATTGTTTGTTTTTGTAGCCTTTCCTCACTAGGAAGCCTCCTGCCCAGATTCTAAACATCGCCCGCCCCAAAGTTTACACAGATTGTCCTTCAGGTATCAATTTTAATCTCAGATGTTTTACTTTATATTTCATAACGGGAAAAATCCACTTTACGTTTCCTAAGAATAAGAGATCTTCAAATCGTGCACCCTAAGAATTGGTCTTGCCAATTCACGTACCTTATGCTTAAATTTTGTTGTTTTAAAATACTCCCTCCATTCCAAAATATACGATAATAGTGGAAAACTAATTTTTCTCAAAATATATGTCGTTTTCGCATATCCAATCATATTTTGTCAACTTCTTTCAACATTGCCCCTATATGGGGAATTCTAATTGTATTTAAAGTAGAAGTGTATTAGAACTAAACGATATTGAGAATGAAATTGTATTGAAAATAAATGAGTGTAGTTTAATATTGTAACCAAATATTTATTGCCTATTTAAATTTTGTAAAACTCCTCCAGCGACATATATTTTGAAATTGGGGAAGTACTTTTTAAGGTCAAAATGAAAACTAACAAAGTTTGGTCCTAAACTGTAACGTTTTAGCCCCTAAACTTCTAGAAAATAACAAATTGCACCATAAAGTTTATTGATTTTACAAAAATTTATCTTTCAATCATTTTTAACAAATTGCACCTAGATTTTTGGTCAAAAATTTTTCATGACTTTGAGCGTTTATTATTACGAATGTAAATATTTGTTTCTTTAGCGAATTTTTCTTTATTATAAGTCTCATTGATATTCTTATTTATCGTTTTACATGATTATTTAAAAAAAAATATTTTTTAGTCCTTCCTTTTTTTATGGTATTTTTTTATAAAGTTCTTGGCGCTTTTATGTATTTCTAGAAGTCAGGGGAAAATTATGTAATCAAACTAATGTTTATCACTAATTATATTTTGACAGTTGTTGTTTACGAGGTGGAGGAGGATACCAAGCTTTGGTACCAAAGTGGCAAACCCGATCAGAGCTCTGATATGGATTTGTTGTTTGATTCCCTTTAGTTCTAGAGTAAAAGAGCTATATTGTTTTTGGTGTTTGCACTATTGCGGTTTCTTTTCTTGATTGGGTGACTAAATCCCTTTTGTTCCAGAGTTTTACAATGTTTTTGTGTTTGCATTACTGGCTTTTTTTCTTGTTTAATCTATTAAGATGCATGGACAATGAAGTTTGTTTATCATAGTTTTTAATATTTGTCACTTCTTTATTTACTAGTGGGTCATCCGGACGTTATTCTGGTTGCGAAATTTTAACATTATTGTGGAATAAATATTGTCGAAAAATATAAGAGTAATCATGTTGAAAGATGTTTATAAGAGTTCTAAAACATTCTTTTAGACGACTTGGAAATAATTTATTTTTCGTTTCAAAGTATTTAAGATGAATACTGTCTCCTTGAATTCATGTTTCATTCACACACCAAAAGTAGACAACAATACACTGCCCTTGATACGATCATATAAGACAAATTCATAACAAAAATACATAGTAATAAACCCATTAGATTTTTTTTTTTTCCGTCTCAAAACAATTATCGTATTTGTTTGGCAATCTCTATATTGTCTGGAGCTCGATCAAGATCACAGTTTTCCATTCATGATCCATAATAAAATGGCAATATGATTAAGAGTTGTCACACTTCTAAGTAAACTCACAATCCGTAAGAATTAAGATGTTGCTCATACGTAGACAACCATCAACTGCCCTTGATACGATCATATAAGACAAATTCATAACAAAAATACAATGTTTCAATAAATCAAACAGTAATGATACATACAATAATAAAGTAGGCACATCACATTTCATTATGCATAAAACAGTTTGGTTGCTAAAAGAAATAAATAGATTAAAAAACAAATCAGATGTGATAATATATCCATCCACATCACAAACAAATTAAAAAAAAAAAGATTGTATGCACCAATAAGGTAAGTGCACCAGTTCTCGATTATAATTACCGTTGTACCGGGGGTATGATTAGATAATTAAGATGGCGAGGGTTTTGAATGCAAATTTATTGTTTTTTTCATGTGTTACATTAGTTTATTTAATAATTTTTATTTAAATCATCTAGATTAATGACATTTACTATCATTGGTAAATTTTCAAGTAGTTTATGAAAAAGTGAAAAAAAAAATGTGTTCAAGGGTGTTAAGTGTACGGTGAAAATGAATATCGTTTCTAGTTTTTAAAATATTTTGTTAATGTTAGCACCTCTTCCATCCATAGATGAAATTTATAGATAAAATAAACAAAATTATTATTTCCACCTCAATGATCTTCTCAAAATAAAAATCTTTTCTTCAATATTCTTGTGTTGACTTTGATAAATTCTTATTTTTCTTATTTAGGGGCGGAAATATAATACAACTCTGTTTATCACTTTTCAACATTAACATCAAGAAGTTGATGGAGGCGTAAGGTGTACAACTAAAAATGTTATATGAGCTAAATTTAATGTGAATATGCAGAAGTAAAGGCGAGCAAATTCCATCTCTATTCTAAATTTCTAATTGACATCTTCTATGTTGCATATGGAAAAAAAAATTAAAGAAACGTAAACTTGTGCTATAAAGTACTACCGCTGTTGAAATGGATGAAGATGCTGCCTGCAGGCACTTTGACGCCATTTTCGTTCATCAAAGATCTTAATTTGCAGTATTAGACTAGAACCACCATATGCGTACATGTTACAGGCCAACAAATATCCAGCATTAACACCTGGCTGTAATTGAAGAAGATGAGTTAGAGCACCAGCTCTAACTTCATTATCACCGGAATGACCACAAGCACTCAAGATTGAACTCTATGTACTTACGTTTGCCATACTTCCTTGAGACATTTTTTCAACCAAATCCACTGCAACATCAATCTTTCTAGCTCGAGCCAACAAGTCGACAAGATAAGAATAATGCTTTGGCCCAATTTTAGCTCCATGCTCTTGCACCAAGTTCTTGAAAGTAGACAAGCCCTTCTCTACCAATCCTGCATAGCTACATGCAAATAACAGAGAGAGGCTTGTTACTAGGTTGGGCTTTAGACCTTGGATTCCATTTGTGAAAATAAAGCTAACGTATCATGTAGAACACAATTCATACCATATGCTAATCATGGCACTGCACGTTACAACATCTCTTTGAGGCATTTGCTCGAAAACTTTTCTTGAAGCCTCCAATGATAATTCTTTGATCCTATAGACTATCCCGACACTAACCCAACAATTCTATAAATGCAGTGTTCGACAATCACTTTCTTACCAATTAGTTATTACGTAAACGCATAGAATTTATAATAAACTCCATAACTCTATACCATTAATGGTACATAAGTTGATGTTCATAGTAAACCCATTGACCATAACATCTCCAACCGCTTCACCCACACTTGCCAACCCGCTTACATGATTGTAACTCACATTCAAATTGATTCATCTCATTGGAGGAGGGACCAACTATCATCCTAGTTATCCCACATTTCAATTATTTCTAATTTCTTCCCTAAGACTGCATTTATAATAATTCTCACATAGTTATCTACTTCTTTTATATTTTACTGTAACATTAGTATCCAAACCCGTAAAAATTCTAACATTTCTCCATGACTAGATCCTCCATGACGTAACTTGAAACAACAGTCCCCGTTATCACCATCACTTCCCTTTTTGGATTCATATTTCCCCATATCTGTTCTCCCAGCTGGAAGGTAAATGTATACAGACCTCAAAACATTCAGTACAATTTCGATACAAATTTGCTTGGTAATCAGACAATATTTGAGCACATGTACAATAAATTCTATCGCTACACCACAAATTCACAATAAGGCAAATCAAAGATATGTTGTCGATACCTTTCCTTGTTTATCAACAATTTCTCTCTAGCAACAAGCCAAAGTAAATCTCTCACCTTTGAAAGATCAACACATTCTGCATAATCTTCGATCACTAGCTACTAGCCACCAAAAGACCCAACCATGATTATGCCGACTTCGTAGTAAACCTACCATTGATGGAATACCCCAAATAAAATTTTCGTATCCTCCAATGAAAGACTCACTATCACTGTTATTTGTATCATAGATATCACAAATAGAAGGTTATGGAACATCCGCCAATTCCACACACCATAATTTGTCACTTATTGTGACGCCATCATTTGTTGCTGATCTTTTAGATCCATTCTTGTGCAAAAAATTTTATTGTGACGCCATCATATGTTGCTGATCTTTTGGATCCATTCTTGTGCAAAAATTTTTAAGGTTTCTTTAATATTTAGCCATTTATCCCACCGTAACCTAATCTGGTTCCCATTTTTTATTGTAACGTGTCTGAAATGACAACTACAAGATCAAAACATAAGCCTGCATATATAGGTCAACAATGAGAAAAAATACCTACCTAAATAAGATCAAGCTTTAGCTTATCAACTTTGATATCACCATACTAATGTTATTTGCAATATTCAAATCCATTAAGATGAAAATACTATTCTTGATTAACGACATCCAAGAGTCTGTAATTAAGTGGACGATGTCCTCATAGATTGACATAAATATTTCAACCATTAATACCATCGTATCAGTTAATCCAAGTAACAAGTTACTCTTAAGGTAAATAATCTTGTTATTGTATAAAAATTTTTCATACATTAACATTTCACTGCTAACCCCTGACTCCACAAGTTTAGAAACATTTCAACTATCATGATTGGAAGATACAATCTTAAAATTTTTATCTTAAGAGAAATTAACCAGAAAAAAATTAAGGCGAATTTGTACCTTTTAAGACATCACCAACTCAAGCAAAAACATGTTAGCTATTGATGGGGCTACCAAGGCATACTGGACTGAACAAACATTAATACTAACTTAGTTTGCAATTGTTGTCAACACGATATAAATCGCATCCAATAAATGATTCGATAAATGTACACAGAAAAACTAAAAGAAACTTATGTAATAACAAAATATCCAAAAGGTAAAGTCTTTTAAATGAAAGCACAATTTGTAACCTTAAAATGAAATTGTGAAAGCACGATATAACAGCTAACACCTTTTGAACAAAAAATACCACAAATTAAGATTTCAATATTTTGAACTAAGAGAATAAAACTATGAAAGATAATGCCTTTATTACCAAAAAAAAACAAAAACTCCTACAGATGATAATAGTTTCAAACACTTTTGATGGGAAAAAAACTAAGTATTCAGGGGTTAAATGAAAAGAGAAATGCCTATTGGACCCTATTATATGACATTGTGGTTCTTCACACCTAGAGTAATAACAATAATTACAAAACAATTCATGTTCCAAGTCTCATTGGTAATAATATTTCAATATTAATGTAATAATTTCAATTATTACCTTCAATATTCCATCATTTTTCTTTGTTATGCTTTTGATAATAGGGCATAGTAGACAATTAACTTAGAGGTAAAGTGTGAGGGGTGATAATAAATAATGTAATCCTTTAGTCAACTTATTGTTGGTCAAAAATATTTATTTGGATGCTTAGTATACCTTTCTTTTAACAACGTATATTCTTCAACGAAGTCCATCAATCACGGATTAGCAAGTCTAAATCCTTAATCTAGAACGCATTACCCCAATTCAATTTGAGAAATGCCAAAACAAATTGCAAAGTCGGCTATATAACAAAAAGTAGAAATCTGCCATGGATAATTAAGGGGACAAAAGCAAATTCCATGAGCTATACTTACCGATTTTCATGAAAAGCTAGCATCAAATCGGAGCTAGTTCTTATCTGGTAGTTCCCGACAAAAAGAAGAAAAATGGGAGAAATTTCAGGGGTGGGAAAATAATTTAAGATTTGTTAAATTGGGCCTTCTTAAATCAAAGTTGGGCCAAGTTTCAAGGAGCAGAGTTTTGACTACCTTCTCCTAATTCTTTTCTTTCATTTATTTTATTTTATTTTATTTTCTTTGGTAAAAGATTTTGCTTAATTAAAATGGTCCTAATGGATAATGGTTTCGGTGTACATATATAGTTTTCAAGATTTATTTTTATGCGCCTAACCAGAGGAAGTAAGAATTTTTTCATAGAACTTGTTGACAATAAGTTACTTTTAACACTTTTTTTTAACACTTAAAAAGAAAATCACTATTGATACAAGAAATTTGAGTATGTGGATAACAAGTTATAACACATCATATTTCTTCTATTCTCAAAAAAAAAAAAAAAAGTCTATTTCGTTATGTTATGTAATTCAAATAAAAATGAACTATTTTCCATAGTACTCCACAACTATTATCCTTCCTAGTTCCTACTCTCCAAATGCCAAGAGTTACACAATGTAGTTATTATAATATTTCTCTGTTTTTTTTTATCTCACCTTCATTTGCTACGAGATACCTCCTTTTTACATTTTTCCTTTTGATATTACATATCATATGTTTATCCCAAAAGATAGTCTATATTGAGATTTAAAGTTTATATCAAAAAGTACAAATTTTATAACTAGTATGAAATATTTTTTTAGGACAGAGAGAGTAGAATATATTTGATCAAGCAAGTAGACTGAAGGATAACATACAAGAAAATAGCAAAACAATCATAACTACATGTGGACATCATTCTTTTATGCGTATTAAAATTCTTGAAAAAAAATGGCATATTTAACAAACAAAGACAAATACCTTAATCACCAAACTATGTGTAATATGACGATGATTCATATAATCAATCGATATATGCTTTTAGTTTGAAAGTTGGTTTTACAACTTGAAATCAAAAGTATATGTGCTAGACAAGATCCCGATCTTTTTGTGTGGTGCCAAATTATCTACGACCAAAGTACAATTGATAAAAACGTGAAATTGTCTTGTGTATAATACCCCCACTGTTATGCTCACAGGAACTTGAATTTTCACAAGCAATGGAATCTTTCCTTGTTTTTTGCTATCTTGAAAAGCCTCTTGAAGACCCGACCCGAATTCGCTCTTTCCTGACAATTCGATTGAAAATACGGTTGCATTATGCGGACCTTGGTGAAAATTCGGTAATGCTCCTGAACAAAGTACCGAATCTGTATACACGACAACGACCGTGCTTCCAGAACCATAAGTTAACCCGATAGCTTTATTGGGATTTTCAGCTTGCACATTCACCACAAACACTGTATTCAGGCTGAAATCCGGTTGAACATCAAAAGTTTTGACATCCAAACTTTGTACTTTATACGTCGGAACCTTTGGTTCGTATACCGTATAAAAGTAGAAGGCCAAAACCCCCAATATTAAGATCAAGAGGAAAAGGGTGCAATAGCAACAACAAATGCACCGTAGGCAACAACTTCCGCGGGATCTTTTCCGGTAGTCGGATTCATATCGGGGAATATTCCGGCGATAGGGAGGAGGAGGCTGGCCATAGTTGCCATTATTTAGGCTTCCCTGCCCGTTTAACATGACATAGGGAGGTGGTGGATTCATTTTTTGAAAGTTAATAATATGAATATAGTCTATGCAAAGAGAGTATACAATTTTTTTTTAATGGAAATCCAGTAATAACGGGTAACCATTAAAAATTTCAAAGAAAGAAAAAAGAGAAGTTAATTCTTATTGGTCTTCCTTTCTTTTGCCAGATATGATCGATGCTTCAAAAACATTACGTTAGATTATAAGTTGTGAGTTTTTCTTTTTTCTAGAATATTTCCATGACATTATACATAAAAAAAAAGGAAAAGAAAGAAAAAAAATACATGCAAATATTAATCATTTGGTAAGAAATTTATCCCACCTTTTTATCATCTTTTCTTTTTGAGAAACTATACAAGAAGGTGGACAATCTCACTAGACTCTGTTAACTACTTCTCCTCTCGAGAATTATGCTATAACTGGACACTAAAATTGTGTATCCGCTCATCATCATCACTACTATATATATGATTTATTAATTTAATTATCTAAATTGAAGTATACAATCTAATGATTTAACATTTACATGTTGTCATTTACTATTCATCCATTTTACTTAGAGACCTGGAATTAAAACTCTGATTATAAATTTTTCAAAAACTTCCTCTACTTCTTTTTCTAATTTTTTTTTAAACCAATATAGGCGAAACTAGATTACAAGTAAAATGGAGTTTATGATTTTTTTTTTTTTGGTGAAATGTAGAAATTTTTATAGATCAACAAAATGTGCCCAAAAGTCACTGCTTTACAAGCTTCTACCTCTACTCAACTAATCTACTTTTTACATTTATTATATACAAGATGACCTGTAAATCTTAAACTAAAAACCTGTCTAAACATTGAAAAACAGTTTCAATACATCTTTTTCTGCAGTTGTCCATTCCTTGTTGTTCTGAATTCTAATCTTAATCTCTTGTTTAATCACTGACATCAAGCTCTGCACATCCCTAACTTTTCCAGTAAAAATCCTCCCATTCCTCTCTTCTCATATGTGGTAGACACAAGCTGCAAATGCAGCCAAGAATATCTTCCTTTTCAGCTTTGCCCCTGTCTAGACATGCACAATCTGCCTTTGCCACCTATCCTAACAGCAAGAAACTCGCCTATTTCCCAACCATTTCTGCATTTCCTCCAATAACTGATAAGCATAAGTGCATTTAAAGAACAGATGTTTCACAGTCTCTGCATTAACAGTATAGAGAATACAGGTACCATCAGGGATAGGAATGTTGAACAACAGCATCCTGTCCTTAGCCAGAATTCGTTATTTCTACACCAACCAAGTGATCGCTGCGTGATTTTGGTACATTCTGGTGAGACCAGATACACTGAGCACCCCGCATCTTAGCCCTTCCACCCATCAACCAATTATATCCTGAGGCAATGGTATACTTACCATGGGAAGTACTCTTCTATTTGTTGCCAACAAAACCATCTCTAGCATGGTCTCTTATCTTCAACACCTATTTCCAGTGCCAGCTACTATCCATCTTTGGCTCAACATCCCAAATACTGGAGGATTTTATATAAATAGCATGGAACCATTTGATCCAGAGGCTATCTTATTTCAAATCTAAGCTCCAAACCTGTTTTAAAATGGCTGCTCTATTCCATATTCTGGCATCCTTTATGCCAAGCCCCCTCTCTGACTTCTTTCTGCAAATATCCTCCCACTTAACAAAAGCCATAGATCTACCACTATCCCTTATCCCTCATAAGAAGTCTTTACAGACTCGATTCACAGCATTAGTGATGTTCTACGGTAAAATAAATATTGAACCCCAATATACATGCATAGCCATCAAGACAGAATTAATCAATTGAACACGACCAACATATGATAAATTCCTGGTACTCCAACATCTAATACGAGCAGTGATTTTACTAATTATTTCCTGACATTCCAAATGACACCACTTTTTCGGTGATAAAGACACACCCAAGTACTTCATAGGAAACACACTTGGTTTAAACTGGGTTCTTCTGCAAATCCAATCCTGCAGTTTAGATTTAACACCTCAAAAGAAAACCTCCGACTTCTGAGCATTTGGCTTCAAACCAGTAACATGGGAAAACTCACTAAACACCCTTTGAATTCCATCTATAGTTGCCTCATCAGCTTTGCAAAACACCATAAGGTCGTCTGCAAAACACATATTGATCAACTTCAACTGAGCACACTTTGGGTGATACTTAAACCACGACTGTCCAGCTATTAACTTCAAACTCTTTGTTAAATATTCCATTACAAGGACGAATAAAAGAAGAGAGAAGAGGTCTCCCTGCCTCGGTCCCCTCTTCCCATGGAAAAACCGGGTGCAACTTTTTATCGACAGTGTGTAGGTGGGGGTTGTAATACAAGCCATCAACAACTGTCGAAATAATTTTGGGAAACCGTAACCTTCCATCATCTCATCCAAAAAACCTCATTCGATTGAGTCATATGCTTTCTGAATGTCTGTTTTCATCATGACCCTACCACTTACCCCCTTCCTCCTATAAAGCTTAATTAGCTTTTGAGTGATCAAAATGTTATGAAAAATAAGTCTATTTTGCACGAAAGCCCTTTGATTCTCATATACTAAAATAGGCAATAAAGGTTTCAACCTATAACACATAATTTTTGATATGCATTTGTAGACAATGTTACTACAGGCATTAGGTCTAAATAGTGATGCATTCTGAGGAACTAAAACTTTAGGGATTAAAGCTAATACAGTAGAGTTCAACTGAGAAAGTACAAGCCCCTTGTCGCAGAACTCCAGAATTGCATTAGTGACATCTTTTTCCACAATACACCAGGTTGTTTGAAGAATCCTGTGCCAAACCCATGAGGGCCAGGACTCTTATTAATATTCATTCCCCACATCACAACTTTCACCTCTTTTCTATCAATTGGTCGAAGCAATTGCATCTGTTGCCCCACTATCAGCCTTGGGCCATTCTGGAAAACTCTCTTATCAGCATGTTTCCTCTCTAAAGATTGCCCTAACTGTTGCTTGAAAAAGTCAGCGAAGTGTTCCTCTATCTTTTCCCAATTCTTGACCATATTACCATGCCGATCTACAATCGACCAGATCCTATTTTTCATATTTCTTGCCTTCAACTTTGAATGAAAGAAAGCAGTGATCTCATCTCATGCTCTCAACCAGTCCTTCTTTGCCTTCTGCTTTAGGAAGCTCAATACTGCTTTAGAAGATTGTAACGACATCTCATATGCTGTTTTTTTTTCTGATCACACTCAGATTTCAGAATAATGTCAGAGAAACGATCCCTATTCAACAACTTCAGACATGGTTTCAACCTCTTTAATTTGGTACATAACTGAGCCATACAAGGTCCAGTTAAAGGTGCTTCCCAACTTCTTCTTACAGTTTCCAAGTAGTGACTGGATTAACTCTACATGTTGGAAAACCTAAAAGGTTTAGGTATCGATGGCATTTCCTCTCTTAGCTTCACATGGATTGGCAAATGATCTGAAAGGTCTTCCACCAACACAGTAGCTAGTGAGAGTGGGAACTGATCAACCCAATCTCCATTTACCATTGCTCGGTCCAACTTGGAGTAAATCCTTTCATTTCCCACTTGATTAGTCCAAGTGAAAAACTTTCCTTGCTGCTTCAAATCAAGTATTCCACACTCTGCAATACAGTTTTGGAAAGCTTCTACTTCAACTGCTGTGACTGGTCTTCCTCCTTTCTTCTCCTCAGCCGAGAGGATATTGTTGAAATCCCCTATTAAAATCCAAGTCAGTGTCATGGTTTGAGCCAGGGTTCTGTGGTCATTCCATAACACTCCCTTCTCCTCTGCACTGTTGCTAGGATAAATGCCCGTAAATAGATGCTGTTCACCAGATTGCTTCAATCTAACCAAATAATGGATGTGTTGATTAGACTTTGCTATCTCCTTGACTTCAACATTATCATCACAGAATATTAATATTCTTCTTCTTGTAGTCCCATTAGAGTTTGATATCCAAACCCAGCTACTCCAACTTCTGTTCATAAACTCCACTTCCCTTGTATTTTTTAACTTGGTCTTAACTATGCATGCTAAATTGATTTTGTGGTTTTGTATTATTCTAACCAACTCCTTCTGTTTAAGGGGGGGAGTTTAATCCCCTTATGTTTCATGCTAAAAGACTACGCATGGATACCAGGGTCAGGTTGCAGCTCCCTTCCCTCCATTTGCTTCTGTGTTCCCACCTCCTCTTCCCTGTAATTTGATACCTTTAAACTCACTAGCTGATCCTACAACTCTTCCTTACCATGCACCAGTCATGTATAAATTATCCCCTTGTTTCCCAAAGGTACACTTCTGTTTATCTTTATCTAGGATAGTCACACTGTAAGAGGAGATCTCTCCTGTTTGGCATCCCCCTTGACTGTTTCCCATAGTCTCCACAACTTTAGATGATGATTGAGATTTATAATATATTGATATGTAATATATTTGATTTCGGTTTCATTTTGTTTATTTTCACTTTCAGCTTTTAAGAATTGCACGAAGATAATATTTATATTGTCTTTAGAACTAGAAAAACGTATTTTCACATGATTAATGATTATCGCTAAGATATTTAACCAAAAAGAATTATTTATTGCTCGGTGCATTAAGTGTTTATTATTAATAGACAATAGTAGATTACATTTTCGTGAAAGAATATTGATTATGAAATTTAGAAAAAGGTAAATTACATTTGTAACAAGTAACAATGATATTCCTGATCAATGGAAATGCGCTTGTTCTTTTTTTTTTTCTTTTCTTTTTTGTTTTTTGCTTTTGTTTATAGATGTATTTATGGTAGTAGTATAATTTAAATTTTGAATGATTTTTTTTTTTTTTGGAAAACAATTTTGAATGATTAACGTAAACACGGAATAGGATACAAGAACGTGATACAGGAAATTAGTCAAAACCCCGCCACTTTCCGATAATTTTCCTTCAAACCCCAATACTATAAAATACTTTCCTCTACGCCCTTCACTACTCTTTTCCCTTCCTTCTTTGCTCTAGGGTTTTTCTTCCTCCTCAGAATCTCTCCCCTCCAAATCGTCTTCAAATCCCGAGGACCCTCAATATCCTGTGCATCCTCCATTGATGAACCCATTGAAGCTTTTTTTGTATAATTATTTTTATGTATACGTTTACATTGAAACCATCATTCAATTTATTTATACTTAACCCGAACCCTAACCCTAACCTCATTTTCTTCAAAAATCCGTTTTTCTCCGGTAATTTTCCGGATAAGCTCACAAAAGATTGATTTTTTTTTTTCTTTTTGGTGTTTAATTTTGCTGAGGAGGAATGCAGGTTCAAGAATTTAAAGAGACTGAGTGTTCTGAGGAGGACCCGTGTAAGAAATCCAGTCAATTCGAAGAAAGTAAGCATTCCGATGAATCGCCGGCGGAAAAAAATGACGATTTGGGATCAGTGTTTGATGTTTCGGTGAAGAGCTTCGACTTTCCGGTGCTGGAAGGGGTTGATACATCGGTTGAAGCCTTGTATCTGTACAAGAATTTCTTCAATTTAATTCCTAGTGCCGTGGGTTCCCTGAAGTCGTTGAAGACTTTGAAATTTTTCGCGAATGAGTTGAATTTGTTCCCTAAGGAGTTTAATGATTTGGATGAGTTGGAATGCTTGCAAGTGAAAGCGCCTTCGGCACCTGGGTTAAGTGGGTTAGACTTCGGGAAGTTGAAGTCTTTAAAAGAGTTGGAGCTGAGTAGACTACCTTCGAGGCCATCGGCTGTTCCCGTTTTGGGTGAAATTGCAGCTTTAAAAAGCTTGACCAAGCTCTCTGTTTGTCATTTTTCAATAAGGTCAGTGCGTCCTAAAGTTTTCTTTTCGTTTAGTAATATGAGAAGCCAATGAATAATGTCCATCATTGATAGTTGTTTGAATTGCATGTGGCTTTGCCAAAAAATTTTCTCCCGTGTGGCTGTGGGCATTTAGGCAATTTAGTGTATTCAATTTAGTGTTAGTGATATGAGATTAATTTTTTTTTTTTTTTGGGGGGTGTGTTCTCTGTAGGAGATAAGAGACTTGGAAAGATAGTGGACTACTTATAGTAGTTGATGCGACCCTCTCCTGCAGGGGAAGAGAAGTATAAATCTTGTAGACAGCACATTAAGGATGGAGGCATAGAAGCGGATAATTGAATGCTCTTGACATGTTGCTCATCCATCTGTCCTTATCCTCCATTTTTGAGTAGCGCTCAACTGTTATTCTGCCTTTTGGTACATAAATCTGTTTAGTTGTTACGCAGATGTAGTCCAGAGTCCTTCTTAATCAAGTTTTAGGTGGTAAGGCCTTCGTCGTGGAAGATTTGTGGGTATTAGTTATCATGGCTGAATGATGATATAAAATTAATCTGGTCTAGCTATTCTATTTAGTTAAATTATCACGCGCTGTGTGCTTGTTTCTGCGCAAGTGTGTGAATTATTTTCTGATGAAGAAGTGTCGGTGTACTTGTAATTTTTTCCAGAGCTGCTGTCATATCGAGCCAGATTTGAATTCTAGGGTCTTCTATCTCATTTCGATAGCTTCGACCTGCTAATTAGGCAGTCAAATTGTTATGGTAGATAATTGGGAAGATAAAGTTAGAATCTTTGTTAGTTTCATTGCACGTTTCTAGAATTCCTTTTGGCTGTTCTCCCTATAAGATTGAATGTATTTATATGCATAAAGCACTTGGAATTTACAAGATGTTGTAGGGGTTGAGAAAGTTTATCAGGTTGTCCAAAGTGGAGCAGAATGACCTGAACATTTTGCAATTATGATGGTAGTCGCTCCAGACCTGGATGCATTTGGACAATTTGCGTAGATGTGTATCAGATTCAGTGTTTGTTGGCGTTCAATTGATTTTGCCCTTGCAAAAAGGTATTATCTCCTGGTATTTATGAGTTTTTTTTTTCTTCCGACACTGCAGATACCTCCCTCCTGAAATTGGTCGTCTCAGTAACTTGGAGTTCTTGGACCTTTCATTCAATAAGATGAAGAACTTACCTACTGAGCTAACTCTCTTGAATTCCTTAGTGTCTTTGGAGGTTGCAAACAATAAGTTAGTTGAGGTTCCGTCTGGCCTGTCTTCCCTGAAAAGATTAGAGAACTTGGATCTATCAAACAATAGGTTGACATCCTTCGTGTGCTTGGAACTTGAATCAATGCATAACCTTCAGAGGCTAAATCTTCAGGTGCGTAAAAGTATCTGGCGTGACTTTTCCCAGAATTCTTAAACTATCTTTTACCCATAATGTAGAAATAGAATGAAATATGTTAGCTTCAGAGATCAAGTTATGATATATAGCTTTCACTAGTGCCTTATTTTCCTGCTGAAGTTATAAAATATATATATATATATATATATATATATATATATTGAAGCATTTTGATTTCCTCGAATACTGGTACGTAATTGTTTCCGTCACCATTATTCTGATGTTAGATTTTTTCTAATGCTGTTTTTTACGGGACCAGAACTTGTATCATGGTTGTCTTTTGTACAAACTGTAAATTTTGTATTGAAGAAAATGGATGGTTTTGTTTATTGAAATTTTTGAAAGATATGAAAGTTTTTATGGGAGGAGTACATGATTTCTTTCTTTCTTTCTTTCTTTCTTTCGTTGAAGTTCTATATTTTGAATGTATTCTAAATGGCATCTCTTTTTCTGCTCCTGTCACTATTGTAGAACAACAAGCTTCGTATGTGCTGTCAAATACCTTCATGGATATGCTGCAACTTAGAAGGGAATGGAAAAGATTTGTCCATTGATGAATTTATCAGTTCTGCAGAGATGGATGGTGTAGAATGCTCTCCCCAAGAAGCTGATTCTGCAAAAGGTACCTAAACTAGACTCTCATTCTGTGACAAAATGTTCATATATGCTGGTTTTTTAGACTTTCTTGTTAATGTGACTATAATTGTGATGATTTATTAGACTTGCTTGTTAAATGTGATTTTTTTCATGATACAGATTCTTCTGTTTTAACATTGAGCCTTTCAATTGCACCAACATCAAATCATAAATCTCTAGCTGCAAGGAAGTCAAAAGGATGGAGAAGGTGCCACACTTGGCAACAAAGAGCTCGCCAAGAAAGATTGAATAGCAGTCGGAAGTGGAAAATGCAAAATCATAATGCTATTAGAAAGGCTGCTGAAGCTTGTTTGATATGTCCTGATGACTCTGTCACCGATGGTTCATCTGCTACTCGAGTTGAGGGGGTTAAGGACACGAAATCATTATCTGAAGCTGATGACTTTCAGAATTCAATTACAAGCATGCAGGATAATGATTTAACCATGAATAAGGATGCATATGTTCGGAAGTGCTCCTGCAATGTGTGTGACTCTCCTCAGAAACATAAGGAGATGAAGAGTGTTTGTAAGGGACATGATGATTGTTCAAGTTCTATACCTGATGATGGTGTTTCGCTGGATGAATGCATATGTGCTGATGCATCCAGCAGTATTACAAAATCTAAAAGACATTCTGATGCAGAACCTGATAACCCCAAGCCAAGGAAATATCGAAGACCAACAGACAATCAGTCAGATGTTTCAGCCAAGTATAACCAGGTGTCATACTGTGCAGTTGATGACTATCTCTCAGATGGATTTTATGATGCTGGGAGAGATAGACCATTTATGCCGCTGAATAGTTATGAGGAAATTCTGCCGCTTGACTCACGTGAAGTTATCCTTCTCGATCGGTATGTATTGATTCACTTGCTTTGTGGACTGTCCACGATCATATATTTTAACTAATTGAACTGCTTATGATGGCTATCTTGGCAGGGAAAGAGACGAGAAACTTGATGTCCTTCTTCTCTGCGCTCAAGCACTGGTGTCTCGATTCAGGCATATTAATGTTTCATTAAAGGAAAGGGCTAATGGAGCAAGTGATTCAATTCAGATTGCGTCATTGCTTGCCTTTTTTGTTTCTGACCATTTTGGCGGCAGTGACAAAAGTGCAGCTGTTCTGAAAGCAAGAAAGGCTGTATCGGGTTCAAATTATAGGAAACCCTTTGTCTGCACTTGCCCAACGGGCAGTGATGACAGAACCAAAAGAACCATGAAAGAGAGTCTGGATGCTGTAGGAGACATTGTTTTCCATGATTTATGTGAGAGGGCGCTTCAATCAATAAAGTGCAGACTTAAATCAATTGTTGTTCCTATTGGCAGCCTTCAGTTTGGTGTATGTAGACATAGAGCTGTGCTTATGAAGGTACTTTGCCATTTCTTTCCTGTTATATCAGGTGTCAATGCAGTGGCTAATTCTCATTTTGACGAAATTTAATCTTCTTTTACTGCAGTACCTCTGTGACAGGGTGAATCCACCAATGCACTGTGAACTTGTTCGTGGCTTCTTGGATTTTTCACCCCATGCATGGAATGTGATTGCTGTAAAGAGGGGCCAGTCATGGGTTCGAATGATTGTGGATGCATGCCATCCACATGATATAAGAGAGGAAACAGATCCCGAGTATTTTTGCAGGTGTATATATATTATATTTTGTGCATCCTATGGTATAATTGCTCTCTAGAGTTTCAGTTCTCTTCAAATTTGGAGGTCGGAAACTTGCTGTCTGTCAACAATTTTCTAGTTATTCCTCATGTATTGTTTCTAGTAAAAGGGGAAGGATAAGCCCTAAAAGAACTTGGAAAGTAGTAATCGCAAATGACATGGCGTATTCAAATATAAATGAAATTATGTGTGTAAATCAAGCATGATGACGACATATGATCCATATATCCAACCCCACATGCTGGGAGTAAGGCATGTTGTTGATGTATTAATGTATGGGTTTTGAAATGTTTGAAGGTCCTTAATTTTCTTATTTCCAGTTCCCATTCTGGTTGACTTTTTTGATTAAGAGTATTTTGTTCATTCGCTGGTATTCTTGAAGATTCTCAGAACTATTGTCATTTTACTTTCAGGTATATTCCTTTAAGTCGTTTGACGGCATCTGTTGTTACTGATTCTAATTCTGCTCCAGAGTTCCCTCCACTTTCTACCTCCGAGCAGCTTGGCAAGACCGCATCTAACACTATTCTGGAGTGTAAAATTGGATCAATTAAAGCTGCAGCGAAGGTTTGTGTTTTGGGTTTTCTTATTATTTTCTTTCATCGCTTATTCTTGTGGTCCTCGGTGATGAGCCCTCTTTAATCGTATCCAATTTGTCATAGCCTCATAGGCATAAATTTTCCGACTTTGTTAAGGATTTCAGTTGTTCTGGCTCTGAATGTGTTGTTCTTCAACTCACTTCCCTCGTGAGTTATTGGGGTGTAGTGTAAATACGTTTTGCTTAAGACCATGACACCAATATTATTGTTGAGTGGATTTGAATATTCGATTTGTTTGATATTGCAGGTGCGAACTCTGGAAGTATGCGGGACTTCTGCAGATGACATCAGGAATTTTGAGTTCTGTTGTTTAGGGGAAGCCAGAATGTTGAGTTCTCTGACGCATCCTTGCATTGTAAAATATTATGGTCATCAAGTCTCATCTAAATGGGTTTCATCATCAAATGGAAACTCAGATGTCCGCATCTTGCAATCAGCCTTATTTATGGAGTACATTAAAGGGGGTTCCTTGAAGGTAAATGGTTCCCTTCTGAAATTTATTTATGTATTTTTTCTCAGATACCCTCTTATCTGGTTGCTTATTTATCTTCAAAAAGTTAATCTCATGCATTGTGTCGACAGCTTTATTTGGAGGAATTGGGAAGGAATGGTGCAAACCGTGTTCCTGTATTGTTGGCATTGTTTATTGCTCGAGATGTTGCATTTGCATTGACGGACCTGCATGATAGACACATTATTCATCGCGACATAAAGAGTGAAAACATTTTGATCGACCTCGATGAGAAGAAAGATGATAGCTCGCCTATTGTGAAGCTTGCGGACTTTGATAGGGCAGTCCCTCTTCGCGCTAGTTTACACTCATGTTGTATTGCTCATACTGGCGTACCTCCTCCAGATGTTTGTGTTGGAACTCCTCGTTGGATGGCTCCAGAGGTGCTCCGAGCCAGGACCGAACACAGCTTGTATGGCCTGGTAAATACTTTTTTGAAAAACTTTTTATTTGCATACAACCATTCACCAAAAAGTTGCTTATCTTGAATATTATCTTCTACGGAGATGGGACAGTTCGGTCTTTTTATGTCGAGTTCACTTTCTTTAACCATTACTCGGTTTGCGTAGTAGCTGTAATTCTTGCATCAACCACATATGTTCATCGCTTACTCTCATTAATCTTGCTGTTTCCCATGGATGCATCTTGTTTGAATTCTTCCTTTCTCTTTCAATTGTTTCCCTCTAATTCTCTGTGTATTTGGTTCATTCAATTGTTGCCGCATATCATTATTTAGCTTCTCATTTTTTAAAGCTTTCTCTGTAAGCAGGAAGTGGATATTTGGTCATTTGGATGCCTACTTCTGGAGATGTTGACATTGCAAATCCCTTACTCAGGTTTAGCAGAACAAGACATTCAGAAAAATCTTGAGGTTTGATACCATCCCGCTTCTAAATTTTATCTACGTGCCTCTTGAAAATTTTTCTTGTCCATTTAGAAGGAAATGTGAAACGTAAAAGTAGAAAACGAGAATGATGTTATTTTTTGTCCGATTCATTGGTGGATTGCATTTCAGTTAAGTTTTAAAATGTCAGAGCTGGGTTTAATTTAAGAACTAAAGTATAATCATCTTTTCTTTACTTGGCAAAGTTTGTTATGAAATTGTTAGGTAGGTTACACTTCTTTTCATGGTTGAAAGACTTTGTGCTTTAATTAATTATGACAATTTATTTAGCTTGTTAAGATTTTCTTCAAATTTAATTCAAACATTTTTTATTTTCTGTTCAAGATGAACACTAGATACAGTCGGAACCTGCATGAAACTTTGCTGCAAATGGGATTTGCATATAGTATTTGCCTTATGTTGATATTATTTTGATGGACTTATATCATACCTTTATTTTTTATTTATTTTTTATTTTTTATTTTTTCCTCTTGCAACTTCTTAAGCTCTGAAGGTCTGATTGATTTTTATTTCATTTAACTGAAACAGAGAGGAAGGCGGCCACCACTGACCAAAGAGCTGGGAGAATTGGTTGATTCTGGCAGGGATTTAGAGGTTCCAGAAATCATGGCTGAGTTGGAAACAGAGCTTGAGGAGTCAGAAATCGAATCTAAAATGCTGAAATTTCTTGTTTCAATGTACCATTGGTGTACAGGGAGCGACCCGAGAGACCGACCAAGTGCAAGTAAGCTTCACCAGTTGCTTGCAGATGCAAGCTTGATCTGTTCAAAAAGTTCATGCAAAGAAGACTAGGGGGTCTTGAAGTGTCATCTACTTCTCTGACGGGGCGCTTCGGGTTGCTACAGGATGGTCCCACATGGCATCAGATCCCAGATTTTTGTAGCCCATAGGACGTTGTAACTTGTAACATTAGTTCTTTAGAGAAGCTGGATCATCTAGGCAATTATTTTTAGAACTAATAAAGTTTTTCCCTGTAATCTCTATTTATGTAAGCTTTTTCAATTCAATGCGAGTTCCATTTCAGCAGTGAGCAGTCTATTGTATCTGACTTATGAAGAGTAAAGTTCCAGTTTTTCTTATAGCATTGATTAATGACACAAGGAAAACATTCTTCTTTTTATTATAGAAACCTCATAGATTCAAGTTGTGCTAACTTTTCTCTAATTTTCTCTCTCGGCGCATGATAGTCTTCCACTAAAGTGCGCCTGCCATGGCACGAAAGAAAGCGGAGCAAAAGAGTGTTGCTATTAAAAATGATGAAAATGATCGATTAGTAGCGAAAATTGAAGGAGAGGCCAGGAAGAAGAGGGAATCGAGTTCTCAACAGGAGAAATTGGGGAACCCTAGCCCTTATCCGACGATTGCTTATAGATTTGGGGTTGCACGCCTCAGTGGTAAGAAGAAGGATGCACCGGAGCCATTAGCGCGAACGAATGAAGCAAGACGGCAGCTAACTTGGTCAGACAGAGTGAGTCCAGCTGATAAGCAGAACCCATGGCAAAAATTTGACATATCGAAGTTGAGGAACCGGGTGGAAAGATTCAATACTTTGAACCAAAGGAGGTGGATGGACAGAAAGTAGCGAAGGTGAGGAAAGCAGTTCAGGTTGAAGCGGAATACTGGGAATCGTCGGTAGTTACCTTTGTTCTTGGTGCCAACCCACCTCTGTCAGATCAAGGCGTCAATGTCATTCTTATGCTTGATTCTCTCTCTTTTTTATTTCAGGATGATTATTTCAGGAAGATTTGGGGTCATCTAGGAATCGACAAGGTAATACTCCTTCTCACTGGATTATTTGTTGTCAGATTTCATACTTTGCAAGCTAGGAATGATGCTCTCAGTGTCGTGTTTTACCAGTAAGAGTTATTAAGACTGGCCATAATTTTTATAAGTAGGGTTAGTCCGATTTAAAACTATGTGAAAGGCGTGTTAAGAGCGTTGATCCCAATTCACTTATACTTAATCATGTTGACTGACTTATTTATTCTGTAATCTTTCCTATTTGGCTTAAAATTTTCTTAAGTAGTCTATGCCCCTCTCCTTAGTTGCGGTATCAGATTTCATACTTTGCAAGCTAGAATGATGCTCTCAGTGTCGTGTTTTACCATTTTGGGGCTAAACCGCTAATAGTTAAGCCTTGGAATGTCGAAAAGGGGGTAAATTACAGAGAAGTTGAACTGAGTTCCGGTCTGGCTGCAATTGCATGGCCTGGAAGTAAAGTATTGGAATTTAGAAACACTAGGTCGAATTACTAGTACTGTTGGCTATCCAATTATGGCTGAATGCACTGTGGATAGGTCTAGGGTTCAATATGCCAGAGTGTTAGTTAATATGGAGATCTCTGATAATGTTCCTGAGAAACTTGTGTTTGAAGATGAAAATGGGTTAGTAAGGGTGCAGAAAATCACTTATAAGTGGATTCCAACGAAGTGTAATATCTGTAATGGATTTGGCCATAAAACAGAAAAAATGTAGGAGGAATGTCACTCTAAAAGAAGTCAGTAAAAAATCAGAGACTCCAAATACTGAGTGGAGAAGAGTAGAAAAGAGAAAGGAGGGGCTGGCAGAGAAACCTAATGAACTTATTGCTAACAATGCTATTGAGGGAGGAACCTGCTAAGTCAACTCACATTAGTGAGAGGATTAACAAAGGTCCTGCACAGTGTGTTAGTAAGAAGGTTCAAGAAGCTGACAAGGACGTTTATTCAGTGCTACCCAATGATCCAAACCAGACCACCAAAGTTACTAAGGAGACAGCTGATGGATTAACCTTAATAGGGAGATCCAACAAGGCTGTCGTGGAAGCTGAGGTGTTGGTTGCAATGAGTACTAGTAAGATGACAGAAGGAAATATAGGGATTGAACCTGATCCTGATATATATGTATAATATCTTATCGTGGAATATCAAGGGCTTAAATGTTCCTTTAAAGCAACAAGAACTACATAGAATTGTCCAACAGTACTATAAAGTAAACATAGTTTGTGTTTATTGATAAGAAGATGACTTTAGAAAGGGGAGTGGAATACTGAAGAGGAATTGGCCAGATAGATCTTGAATTAGTAATATTGCTGATCAATCAAAAGGGAGGATAGTAGTGATGTGGGATGATAGTATGATGGTTTGTGAGCTTGCCAAGTCTCATCAGCTCCTATATTGTCTGGTAAGACTTAAGCAGGATAATACTCAGTTTTTATTTACTGGGGTATATGCAAGTAATGATGGCAATGAAAGAATAGAATTGTGGGAAGAACTGGAAAGATCATCACAGAACATTGATGTCCCTTGGTTAGTAATGGGGGACTTTAACAACATCTTGAAAGCGGAGGAAAAATTGGGAGGTCGATTAGTTACTGTTGGTGAAATAGAAGGGTTTCAGGCATGTGTTGAAGCGTGTGGGATTCTGGATTTGCAGTAGCATGGTAGAACTTGGTGCAATATGCAAAGTGGAAAGGAAAGAATATATTCAAAGTTGGATAGATCTATGGTTAATGGTGAGTGAGTTGATTTTTTCCCCGATTCAGTAACCTGGGTGTTTAATGAAGGAGTTTCGAATCATTCGCCACTCTTAGTCAGAATGAAGGAGGATATGGTTCAAGTGTCCAGGCCATTCAGATTTTTTAACATGTGGAGCCATTCTCCACGATACTTAGAAATTGTGAAACAGAGTTGGGAGGAACCAGTGAGGGGTACGTATATGTTTCAGTTATGTTCTAAGTTAAAAAGATTAAATGCCCAATTGAAGAGGTTAAATAAGGATCACTTTGCTGACATAGTTAAACAGGCTGAACAAGATAATTTGAAGTTGCAGCAATTGCAAGCCCAACTAGCTTTGCAACCAGAGAATGAGATGTTACAGAAGCAAGAGAGAGAAGCATATGCACTGTTTATTTCATCAAGAAAAGGTGCTATGAGTATTCTCAAGCAAAAATCCAAAGAGGATTGGATAGCGATGGAAATAAAAATACGGCCTTTTTTCACTCTAAATTGAAGGCTAGAAATATGAGGAACAGAATATGGTCCATTGTGGATGAGGAGGGTGAAGTTATAAGTGAACTGGAAGCAAATTGAGAAACATTTTGTGGGCTATTACAAGAATTTGCTGGGAAAGGCATCTCCCAGAGTAGCAGCGGACCAGGAAATCTTTGAACATGGGCGTAAACTTAGTGTGGAACAATAACTAGCAATGATACACCCAATCACAGCAAAGGAAGTTAAAGATGCCATTTTCAGCATGAATGTCAACAAGAGCCCAGGCTCCGATGCTTATGGCTCGGGATTTTACAAATCAGCATGGAGTGTGGTGGAGCGAGACGTGATCAATACTGTGAAGGAGTTTTTCGAGCATGGCCAGGTATTAAAGCATCTAAACTCAACTTTGGTAGCTTTAATTCCAAAAGTAGATACTCCTTTGAATGCTTCTCAGTTTCGGCCTATTTCTTGCTGTAATATTGTCTATAAGTGTATATCAAAAATTCTCTGTAATAGACTAAAAGTAGTTTTGCCTGGTTTAGTCGATGGTATCCAAATGCTTTTGTAAAGAATAGGCTCATATTGTACAATATTTTGTTAACACAAGAACTGGTTAGACATTATAATAGGAAGGGGATTAGTAATTGGGTTCTAATGAAAATAGATATTAAGAAAAACTACGTCTGTTGAGTGGAACTTTGTGGAGGAGATGTTAATAGGATATGGCTTCCCAGAAGAATTTCGACGCTGTATCATGGCCTGCATCTCATCAAATTCCTACTCTGTGTCGATTAATGGCAGCTGTTCTGGAATTTTTTCAAGGTAAGCGATGGTTAAGGCATGGGGATCCGGTTTCACCCTTATTGTTCGTGCTGATCATGGAGTATCTGACCCGAAGTTTGAAGCGCCTAGCTATGCAGTCATGGTTTAAATTTCATCCCCTATGTGGTCATTTGAAACTCACTAATATTTGTTTCGCAGATGACCTTATGGTCTTTTGCAAGGCAGATATTAAGACTATTGCAGGAATTACAGCAGTTTTCTCTGAGTTTTCGAAGACATCTTGTCTAGTGGCTAACTCGCAGAAATCAGAGGTGTATTTTGGTGAGGTAAACAGTCAGTTGCAGGAAGAGGTACGTCATCTGACCCAATTTTACAAAAGTACCTTTCTCGTGAAGTATCTTGGTGTATCTCTTTCCCTTATGAAGTGGTCACAGCAAGAATGTAATGAGATTATTAACATGATGGTTGCTAGAATTAAGTGTTGGAGCTCCCGGCATTTGTCGTATGCCGGTAGAGTGCAGCTTATAAATTCAGTCTTGTTATCCATGCATGTTTATTGGGGTTCTGTTTTTATTCTTGCACGAAGTGTAACAGATGCTGTCAATAGAGTATGTAGGGAGTTCTTATGGGGAAATAAGAGTAGAGGTAAAGTAATATATCTGGTAAAATGGGATGATGTCTGTAAGAGTAAGTCAGAAGGAGGTCTTGGTATTAGAGACGCTAAAATATGGACTAGAGCTGCTATTCTGAAACAAGTTTGGAGTTTGGCTCAAAAAGAGGATAATTTGTAGATTAAATGGGTGCATGCTGTTTATATAAAGAAATCGTCCATTTGGAATCTTCAACCTAAGCTGGATAACAGTTGGCATTGGAAGCAAATTCTCAAAATAAGAGACATTGCCAGGTTAGGGTTTGATGGAAACTGTTGAAAGGCTGCTGGGAATGGTGTGTATACAATTAGTTCAGGTTATCAGTGGCTAATGGGATTGCAAGGAAAATGGCAGGGAGCTACCAGTGTTTGGTAAGGTATGAATGTCCCGAAACATGCGTTCATCTCCTGGCTAGTTTGGAAACAGAGACTTCTCACAAAAGATCAATTTATTCACATGAATATTCTTGTGTTAGATAGTAGTTGCATACTATGTTCTCAGGTAGATGAAACTGTTAGACATCTATTTTTTGAATGTAGTTATGCTTCTGGACTGTTGGGTAGGATTCAGGATTGGTTAGAGAACATGAAGCTCTCTTGTGTACTGGAAAGGTGGCAACAGCAGGTTATCAAGATCTAGCAAGGGAATGGCATGAAACGGAGGGTCTTGCTTTCTGTGTTAGCTGCAACTTTGTACCATATCTGGGATGAAAAATACAGAAGGGTGTTCATTGGAGTTGTAAGGTCAGTGGAGGATTTATTGGGACTGATACAGAATGAAGTCAAGATTAGAGTATGGAGCAAACAGAGGAGAGCATGGACCACAGGAGAAACACAAGTGCTGCAAATGTTCTTTAAAGTAGACAGTTTTGGTAGATTGAAAAATTTGTTGTAATAGTTTGTAAATAGATAGCTGATAGCAGTGATCAGGAAGTAGTGCAACTTTGTAAAGTGGTGACAATTGAGTTCTCTTATCATTAATATATTATTTACATTTCACCAAAAAAAAACCTGATAGATTCCAATTTTGGAGCTTCTTATTACCACTCATTGTTTAAGACTGACAGGGAGTATTTAAGAATTCTTTTTCAAAACACATTCTCCATTATGACAATGGGCCGTCCAGGTTCGAAATGCCTCAAGATCCGGTTTCTAAGGCCCAGTTATTCCAACATACGTTATAATACAAGCTAGTTTGTATGATTTCTTGGAAAGGATAAATAAATAACTAGCTAACTTGTATAGTACAGTGAAATTTATTGAAATACACATATTTTGTTACTTTTGTTGCTCTTTCCATCACCAAGTGTGTGTAAACCAAAGATTAAACCCATTTCAAATGAGGTGATGTTTCATTTTTTCCAATTATATTCCTACTGGTGATGTAGTGTTGTATTATGCATGAAGGGGAGTTTAGAATTGACTTAAAATTCAAAAAATATGGAGTGTACGTAAACTACTCATGAAATCTTATATTAATTTGAAAGAAAAATACATGTGAGGATTAGATTAAAATAAAACTAAGTTCAAAAGTATATATGTAATCTAATAAGAACAAAATACATGTTGAGCAACATTTCATATCTGTGACGATATGGCTTCATCATTGAGAAAGTTCCAAATTTCCAACCCTCATTCAGAAGTTAGTATCTCATTCTTCTGCTAGTCTCTGAGATGATCAAGTCCCTTTGGAGCAAACCCGGAAGCCGTTTTTAGTTGTTGTTGCTTCTTTTCCTTTTATCTTTCTTGCATGCCATCAGAACAAATGGTTACCAAGGGAATTATGCCAAAAAAAAAAAAAAATGAAAAGAGATGATCCATCAAACAAATTAGCACGCTGCACGGATTAACACGCTGCAGAAGTTCATCGCGTAGCATTTCACCAAATTTATAACACCTTCTTTACACGTATCGTAGAAAGCATACATGCATATAAATTAGCAAAGTGACTGATGAAAGTGCACTTGCATAGTGAGACTATTACAGTTGAGCTTCCAACATGCAGCTTATCTAGGCATTTGATTTTTCTTGATAACACAATTTCTTATCTAAAATTCTGAAAGCAAAGTTCAAGGAATCTTAAAAGCTACGGATGATAAGTACAAAGCAAGACCTGCAAGATTATATCAGCTTAAGAAGCACCCAACTTCCAACCAGAGATTCGACAAACAGAAGATTCCAAAGTTAAAATTTGTGTTTAAAATTAGTGACTAAGCACATGTTATGCACTCTGCACGCTGCATAAGGAACTGGATTCATAAGCTCAGATTTTCAATATTCCCCTTCCGGGACTTCTTATTTCTGCAAAGGTCTCGACCATCATCCGTAAAGGAAGAGACATGACTCTGTAAAGACTATTAACGTCTCCGACAAAAAATCTAGACATCTGTTCATCATTTTTTGGTGCTAGATATAAGACTCAGATACGCATGATCAAGATTAATGGTTAGAAGAAAGAAGAAGTATGAATCCAATGTAGAAATAAAGTCATTTAAGCTTATCTGAACAGAGTGTTACAGCTAAAAAACCAAAGTAAATGATGAGTTCCTAAACCTCTATGTGTTCCTCAGTCCTGCTCAAAAAGCCTTCATGCGATAAGCCTTATAACAAATAAAAAAATAGAAAAGCAAACTACATCTATATAATCCCAATTCCTATAAATTGATCGATACTTTCAATTTGGTTTTCAAAATCATGACCATGTTTTATGTGTAACATTTACACAATAAGCTTCCACAAACATTAAAGAAAGGAAACAGAGGTTTTAAATCACCGGGAGCTTTTAAACCAACAACAACGTCAAATTACTTGCTCTCGGTTCCATCTAAGTAATCTAGCATTTCTAATTGCCTAATGAAGCTAAGAAGCAAGGAAGAGCTACTCCTAATAGTTCTATTGTAAATAATTTAATCTAACAAGTTTCAACTAGATTTATAGGAGGAGATTAGCAGGTTACCTAACTGAATTTCGAAACCTTGAGCTACGTACGTTCTCCGAACTAAATCCCAACTTGAACAGCCTTAAGTTCTCTGTTTACCTCTCCTTTTGAAGCTTTCCCATTTTCCCTTTTTTTTGTATTGTTTTAGAGCTAATTTTTCTGACCTCTTAATTAACTATTAAAAGACGAACACAGAAATTCCTTTAGTCCATATAGAAGCTATCTTCCTAATTCTTCCATGAACGCTAAAACGAAAATCACAAGCAATAGAAAATTTGTTCTCCTAGTAATATAAAAAACAGGTGCATAATTGTTCTTTAACACCAGAAATCAAACACTTAGCATGCATGTCCTAGAAGGTAAAATGGACTTCTAAAGAAGCAAATACTTCCAACACATAAAATCAATTAAACTTGCAGCTTCAATTACCGTTTTCCAGAAAACTACATACAGTCGAGCTCCAAAAATTTGAATAAACAAATATGACCAGCGGCCTGCTTATTCCATTAGGTCAAAATTTTTTGGTTTTTTATCATTTTATTCTAGCGTTAAATAAGGATTCACAAGGAAAAAAAAAGGGATTAACAATCTTAATCGAGCCCAAATCAATTATATACCCCATTTCTTTACTCTATGAAAACCTCTCGGTACTACCTTATACGCATCAATTAAAAAGGAATGAAAAGTAAGAATTCAAATCAACTCACTTTAAACCCTTGAATTTGTTTCCCCGAAAACCCCAACCCTAATTGTGATTGAAATTACTCTCATTATTAGAAAAATTTGTACAACTTATGGTTAGCCTTGCTTGAAACTCGATATGTTTTTTTAGTTGGCCTACCAAAAACTCTGATTTAATCCAGTGCACTTGTCTTGCAATTGTTGAGAAAGTAATTTGTTTCTTCTGAGATGCAAATTATATCTAGGTTAATTTAGTGCATCCTCTGAAAATGGAATTCCTGAAATACAACTGCCAGTGATGCAATCTAAAGGACAAAGTATCCTTCTACATGCAGTTTTTGTGGCTAAAAATTTGTTATGCATTAATTTTTCAAGTAATGATGAAAAGCCCCTGATAGTATTCATACTTGGCAAACCTTTCAGTCCACAATCACTTTTAAATTTATTGCTTTCATGTGATCTCAATCTGTTGCTCTTTACAGTTCATCAGTTACTCGGAAAAAAGGCATAAGCTTATGCATCCTTATTTATGAAACGTCTCTTAGATGTTTTTATTTCTTTTAGTTGCTATTATGAGTGCGAAAGTTACAGTTTTGTGTTTCTATTGATGGAAATTTAGTTGTTTCTGTTGATTCTCTTTAACAAGATGTTCAAATTTGACAATCATGCACTAATTGTGATTGAAATTACTCTCATTACTAGAAAAATTTGTACAACTTATGGTTAGCCTTGCTTGAAACTCAGTATGTTTTTCAAACTCTGATTTAATCCAGTGCACTTATCTTGCAATTGTTGAGAAAGTAATTTGTTTCTTCTGAGATGTAAATTATATCTTGGTTAATTCAGTGCATCCTCTGAAAATGGCATTCCTGAAATACAACTGCCAATGATGCAATCTAAAGGACAAAGTATTCTTCTACCTGCAGTTTTTGTGGCTAAAAATTTGTTATTCGTTTATTTTTCAAGTAATGATGAAAAGCTCCTGACATTTTGACGTAGCACCAAATAGCTAGAAAATAGATGAGAATACACTAAATAGATGAGAAGTAAGAAGCTTCATTTTTTCCTATTTTCTGCCTTATATTATACATAATTTATAACATGTTAGATGCTATGTTATGAAAGAAGAATTCACTTTGCTGAACATAATGTGTCAAGAAAGGATGTGAAATCTTCTCCTCTTACTTCAACTGCACAAAATTTTGTAGATTTTGCTCTCCAAGTTATGAATCACTTACAATTTTCAAACTTTCCCTGCTGTATATAGTGGATGATAATTACTTGACTAGCTTTCCACATAAACATTTGTAGGGTCAACTCTAACAATGAATACATAGAGGCGGTCATCTCTCAAAAGCTGTACAAAAAAGTGCATGAGACAATAACAGCACCAAGTGATTCACATGTTCCAAAAATCGGCCAAGTGATCAGTTCCAGCAATCCGGTACTCCGCAATATTTTCTTTTCTCATCACCTCTGTTTTAATTTATAATAACTCTGGTTTTATAAGATTGGTTTCAAAATAGGAGTATTTGTTGTGCTTATTAACGTCATGATTACGTATTGACTGTTGAATTGGCGGGAGTAGTGTGGTGCTAAACTAGTGCAACCCCAGTTTTACTCAAGGAGGGCATTTTGGGGTTGAGAGATAAATCCAAGTATTAGATATATTTTTAGGCAGAAAGGGATAATAAGTCATAATAAGACCCATTTATGTATGAAAGTATTTCAAAAAGATAGGTTTAAAGCAGATCTTATCTTGGTGTTGTGGTTAATCCGAATGACTAATTGCACCTAAATTAATCCAAGAACCAAAAAAAAAAAAAAAAAACAGAACTTTTGGAATATGACATGTAAAAAGTGAAAAACCAAAGTCTACATTTTCTCATCCGCAGCCGAGTCACTCATGTGTATTGTTTTCGGTGTTTAATTTTTATACTAATCTCTCTATCACGAAAACTTCTGTCTCCCAATTCCACCATGGAGATATTAAATTAATCTTACAGCGACGGCTGAGAAAGCGGAAATGGTGTGATCCGTTTGAATGGCGCAACATATTTTGTATATATATATATATATATATATAGATACAATATTACATGTCACTAAAAATAAGCGAATAATCCGCCACGGAAATTGCAATCACAAACGGCATTCAACGATATTTGAAATCTGGGCTCACCACTTTTCTTTGCAATATACTACTATGTTGAACTAAAAGTGTCAAGTGTAGACGTGGTACTTTACTGATTTTTCAAGTGTGTTTACCAAGAGAGTGGCACTTATGTTGCAATTAATCAGGTAGTATTATTAGATGAACTAAACTAAACGACTATAAGAATTATGAAATTACTGCTCTTGTATACTACAGACAATGGTCTGATCCTTTTGCTTCGTACGCTGCAATAATTCTCGAACCTCAACTAATAAATCTCATCAACAATGTATAAGTGTAAGTGATGAGACTATAGGTTACAGGCTTTCATCCCAAATACACCCACAAATGAAATTGACAATTTGTGTTCTGGAATAAAAATGCTAAGAAAAAAGTCGTCAGCCATAAACTGAGCAAATGTACACACTAACAGATAACAGGAGCATACATGAGAAGGTCAATTTCAGAGCTGAACATGAATCACCCTATATATAGCATACATGAGAACTCCATTTGTACACTATTTCATTTTTCTACCTTTTGCTAGTGCTTGTTGAGCCACGAAAAGAAGGTCCCACACTAAGAGTAAATTCTCTTCTAGGATGTATGAAATCCAACTCAGGAGCCTGCATGCTTGGAATGCTTTACTAGTTTCTTTTTGTTTCTTCTGCTTCTGCTTCCAAAAAGCACAATTTCTAAATGAACGGGCCCACACAATCCACTTTTCCGCTTTAGACTCAGAATACTGTTCAAGCATATGCAGTAGTAACCTATACTCAGCATACTTGTAGCTTCCTAAGTACAAACTTCTGAGTTTTAAGAGGGTTCAGTTTAGAACTTTATAAAGGCTTGTTCATCTAAATTTGCTACGCACATATATGATCTCCAAACAAATACCACAAACATATCTCAGCTGCAAAAGCAAACAGAAATGACTAAATGGTCTGATAAGCCAACATTCACATACTAAGACACAAGTTATCAGTGAAACAAATAGTTGCATTCAAACAAGTATAATTTATACCCTTCACAACCAGGAGGAATGACAATAATAGCACGCCAATATATTGCCTAATCTCTCCAAACAGTGTTAAGCTAAACTAAAAATTTAGGCTACCAGTACTTCTCTTCAGTGCAAAAACCCAAGATAAAAACCCTTCCATCATAATCTCAATGAAGGAATCAAATACATATATCAATTTTAGCATTCATAAGTAGCATCAAGTTGATTGGCTATAGAAAAGTATTCAAGAATCTTCAAATTTGATTCAACATTCTATTCAATGACTGCAGTAAGTAGTCAACAATGTTGCAGCTACAGACTAAATTTTTGGTGCTTCGACCAAAACATAAAGCCTATAATTGAAACTCTCTTTTCATGGTATACATGTAGCAAAAGAATGTGCAATGAAAAAAAAAAATGTGGTGTAACAAATATCAAGGAGCTCTGTCAAAGGGTTTAGTATCATTGTAACAAACATCCCAAACAGCTTCCATGGCATCTTTGGCAGCAGCTTCAGAGCAATGTGGATTCCCCATAACAGATTTCATGACCCTTCGTCTCACGCATTCCTTTACAAAAGATTAGAAAAAACATGACGTTAAAGCTATATTTAGAGCAAATGTACGAGTATGTTCATCAGAATAGTTATCCAATTCCGCTGATAGACTTAGCTTCATAAATTACAGTTCAATTGGAAAAAAAAAAATGAATTGCAAAAGCACAACAATGACTAAAGAAAAGATATTTGGCTGAAGCTATGTCAATTGACTTAGAAAAAAGAGCAACCAAATCGAAAGTAAATAATCTCCTAACAGAATACCACACACACAGAAAAGAATATGATGAGAAGGGATAACCATAAAAAAAGTAAAAAGCTGATCAGGGGGAAACTGACCTGTTCATGACCTCTAAGCTTCATAAATCCCCGCAAAATTTCACGCTTATAATGGCAGTCCCCGCTAAGATGACCTGCACGGATCTGCTTCAAAAACACAAGGAAAACAATTACGTAAGTATTAAACACTTCAGAATGAAATATAATATTGTATTTAAAGGCACGTGAATGGTGGAAACAGAACCTCACTGCAAGCATGGTGAGCGCAGTTAGTCCAGTCCAAATTTGCAGCTCGACAATCATCATATGCATGAATAAGCTCATGGATAACCACTTGGTTAACCTCGTCTTGAAGATTCATATAATTAGCACATACCATTATCTGTTCAAAAAAAAAAAAACAAACGGAAAAAGCAATCAAAAAAAGGCAAAAGTCATCTGTAAGAATTTACAACAATAGATCAAATCTGGAGAGTGACAGTCCCTAAAATGCAGTAACCATTTGGCAAAATTATACAATCCAACTAAAAGATATTTCATTGAGATGTAACTGAACTCCTTGTAGATTAATGAATAAATTAGTCCCAAGTCCTAACCTTTGTACAAGAAAAAAAACAAGCTGGCAACAAAAATTGCATACTCTCGTTCACCTTCTAGAGCAACTAAAAAACTTAGGATCATGAAATACAAAATAAAAGGGGGGAAAACTTGATCAGTTTACGAAGTGATAACAGAAAAATACCCCTTCACCGCGAAGGTAACCGCCACTGATCTGTTTATCGCAATGAACAGCCTTCATGAAATTGTCACTGATGCTACATCCAGCCTTTTCCATATGCTCTTTTAAAAACTTTACCGTGGGAGCTGTAAATTCATATATATCAATGTATAATTATCAAGACCTATATATATATACAGTATACACCTACCTTAAATGAGAAGTGACCCCTAAAAAAAAAAGAAAAAAAGAAAAAAAGAGAGAGATGAAGAAGGGAATGTACTTTTAAGGCTTCGTTTAATCATATTTTCGCATTCCTTGACAGATACACCCGCGCCTCGAACGGTCGGGGAGTTGCCGCCTTGTGAATTGTGTTGTTCTTCCATATCCATTCACACAAACTGATTGCCCAAAGTGCACATAAACTGTACTAAAACTTTTAAATCAACTAAGGCATGACAAATCAAAGGAACTAACACATTTATATTATATAATCTAAACAGGATTAGAAGCAAAGTTACTACTAACTAGGGGTATTCACGGACCGGATTGGTTCGGATTAATAATAATCCGTAACCAAACCGGTCATTATAGTTTTAAAATTTTTCAATCCGTAATCGGATCGGATTGATGTTTAAACCGGACCAATCCAATCCGTTTTGAACGGTTTGGTTTAGACGAATTGGCAGTTTGGGTTTCTAATTGGACTTTTCCGTTTTGGGCAAAAAATTGAACATTTTTTTGTTACTGGGCCTTTTTTGGGGGCTTTTTCTAGGCTTTTCCTATAAATTTTTTGGACCTTTTTAAAATAATATCTAACAAAATCTTTCAAATAAGTGAAATTCAAACTGAAAATCCCACAAAAGACCATAAATATTAAATACAGTAATCGATGAAGTCCATAAATGGGAAAAAAAAGAAAAAAACAAGACAGAAATCCGAACATTCATCCCCAGTCAAAAAATTAAAAATCAATGTTGTTGGCCAGCTTCCTTAGTTGAAAATCCGGGCAATCCCGCCATTTGTCCAAACAGCTTCCTTAGAACATCATCTCCATAATTGCTAAGTCTACAACCTGTTTAAAAACTAGCAAAGTAGCCAACCCAATAACTAGTCAAATTGATTCACCTTTTACATAAAAAACAAATGGTAGACTTGATAGTTTTTTTCCAAATAAGGTTTCTTCTATAAACAGAAACTCAAACAAAAATAGGCCTACTAGACTACTTGCTAGATCAATCATCAATTTTAATTTAAAGTTGAAGCCTTCAAAACCCCACCAAAAAAAAAAAAAAACAGAAGAAGTTGAAGGACTTTGTAGTTAGTAATTGAAATTGAATGCAGGGGAGGAGGATTAATATAGCAAACCGCGTTGAAAAATGGGATAGAGTTTTGGAGACTATTGGTGTTGAACTCCATCGGTTGACCACCCAAAAAAGAGACAAATTCAAGAACCCGTAAAGAAACAAATCAAATCAGAAATGCCATTCTGAATACTTGGAGTTTTAATCCAATCAAAACAACAAAACGAATCCAATTATAATACGAGAACTGACACCAAAAACTTCTATGTGTATTTATTTACCAATCGAAATCCCCAAATCTAAAAACCCAAAATCAATCGAGCTTAACATTAGACTTACATTTATTTCTTGCAGTTCTTGTGTCTGAAGGAGGGAGACGAGGAGGAGGAGGAGGAAGGCTGGGAGGGGCGGCTTCGGTGGTGGAAGCGGAGAAACGGTCGGAGGTGCAGCAGCGGGCAGTGGCGGCTTGGCTTCTTTGCCGTTTGGGAATGAGGAAAAAAAAAAAGAAATTGGAGGCGGAGGCTTCGGTTTGGGTATGAGAAAGAAAAAAAAATACCTATTTATATCTAGGAATTGGGAGAAAAATGGGAAAAGAAAATGCTAGTCCGCGGGGGACTCGAACACACGACCTCAATCAAATATAAGAATGGGGAAACAATAATGTCACTGGGACAACTTAAGAATTTCAATAGAAGTCATTACCTCCCGCTATATATACAAAACTATTATATTATTATTTAATAATATATATATACGGTCCGGTCCGGTTTGATAGACGGTTTGATAGTGCCAAACCGTAATTCGGACCGATATGACCGGTTTTTAATTTTCAAATCCACCGGTTTATAAATTCATTTATAATCCGCCCGCTAATTCAAACTGATGACCGGTTTGGGCGGTTCAACTGGATTGAACCAAACCGTGAACACCCTTATTACTAACGTAGATTCAAGAAAACAACGATATGTAATCCAAAGGCAAACCTTACTGTTAATTAACCACGGAATGTATACAATTGCAACAATGAAAAGGTACCAAATTTTCAGAAAATTTCAATTGGTAATATTTAAACTCAAATTCTTACAGAAACTATAACTCATTTTTATGAGCCTGAAACTGAAATAAACCTCATCAAATATAGAAGAAACTTATACAAATAAACCCGAGAAAACAACTGAAAGGATAGGAGTAATTAACTCCTAAATAGAAAATCTGAAATCTAGATTTTCAGATTTTCAGTTGAGACATATCCTGTTCAAATCAAATTTTTTGACAATCCACAACTCCGTTTTGAAACCCGTAAAAACAGCGATAAACTACACCAAACGAATGTGATATTCATAAAAAGAAGTCCTTGAAAATGATTAGCTAGCTAAGAGAAAAATGTATAACAACAGAACACACCAAATCTGATTTTTTTGCAAGTCAAATCTAAATTTTCACGCACTTATCTTGGTTTCACTTTACATCTTTGCACTTCCACAACACAAATAAATCATCCATAAATATTCAAATACACTCCCTAACAACGAAGAACAATACATGACAACAAAGTATAAGGTTCATAGAGTTCTCTAACTTAAATTTAAGACAAATAGTCTTAATGTTTAACCATAGCAAACACCATCGGATATCCTTATTTCTCACATGCATTGCCTAACTAATTTTGTCTCATTTAATTCTTACATAAAAAGATGCAATGAAACAAAGAAAGGAATAATCAATACACCTCAAACACTAAAGGGATCATCAATAACTTTTCAATCTAATTTCAGTTTTATAAAAAACCAGCTATCCTAGAAATCTCTACGGGTATCCTATCATGTGGAGGTAAATTAAATTGAAGTTAACAAAATAAACAAAATCAAAGCCTAAAATCGAAGAGAATATGCAGCAAAATAAAATCAAAACCAGGTCATCGGTTAGTTGCTACTTAATGAAACTTTATTTAAAATTAAATGAGTCTTAGATAGTCAAAAAATCAAGTTATCCCTAATTTCTACATGGCCGCAATGAAAGGGAGAACCTTGAATATACTCTAAGAAGTAGTAAAATTACTTGTTCAGCATAGTATGAAATTAACTCATGTCTTTTTTTGCGCTAATGAACCAAACACGAATCTGGATAACTTTTTTTTTTCTTTATTTTTTGACAGACAACCAAACACATCATGCAAAAATTACAGAAATTCAGAAGTTTAATTTGCAATTGAATCCAAAAAATACAGAAATTCAAAAGTTGAATTTCTACTCTGATTCTCTTTTAATAGTTCCAAAAATAGAATACACCAAAAGGTTCAGAATAAAACACAAAAGTAAATAAAATGAAGCAAAATCGCAAAAAAGGCATGAATCTATCTACATGCAGCAAAACAGAATCATCGTCCCTGTAGTAAATTGCAGAAAACAAAATCTATTAATAGGATCCAGAGGTTAGTAGTACCTTTTAATAATTTATATCTACCAATTGAGGAGAAACAAAGTTAAGCATAAAATTCAAAAACAGAAATCAATCTATGCAAAAAATCAGGCTGTCCCCTTATTCATTTTAGCCCAGAACCGAAATAAAAAACTCCAAGTTTAAAATGTTCCTGTTATTGTATCAGTGGATCGGAAGTAAATCACAGAAGCTCACAAACTCACTCATACAAAGGCCGCTCAACACATGCGGCAACTAAAATAAACTCGATAATTTCAAACTGCACAAACTCACGTGCATAAACCACACAAACTCACCACACATAAACAAGACAAAGTAAATCCGGTGAGCAAAGTAGATCCGGTGATTTGAAAAATTAAAAACATGCTAACCTTTTGGATGTGTACAGCCGATGACAAACCTAGAAGGGAAAAAGTTGATAATCGAAAACCTGATAATCAAAAAAAGTAAAGAGGTGCGATTGGAATCAATAGCTCTGGAACTCTGTTTCTCACAGTGGCCAAAAAAGGGAAAAAAGAAGGGGAAAAGAGGAAGAAAACAAAGCTGGGCAACGGATTCAAGAAGTTGCTCCAACAAAGACCGACGAAATCCAAAAAAAGAAAAAGCGGTCTAACACCAATTGCCACGTCAGCGATTTTGACTGGGAACCTCCCTTTAACCGTGCAACAAAAAGGAGATTCCTTTCTAGATATACTAGTGATGTCTAGTCGTGCAATGTGCGATTCTGGCCCAATATATCTGTATATCTTAGAAATGTTTGTATCTGAAAAAAATATTTGCATTTTGCCCGATATATTTTAGAAATATTTGAAAAATTTAGAAATGTTTAATAAGTGTGATCATAGAAATATTTTTATTTGGCATAAAAAGAAATTGTATTTGACCCGGTACGTTATAGAAATGTTTGAAGATTTTAGAAATGTTTTATAAGTTTAAACTTGATCAAATATATGTCTTGAATTAAATGCTAGACAAAATATAAAAGCATCCTAATAAGTTTAAATATTAGTAAGATAATTTATTGATATTCTCCGGTTGTGCCAAATCAATACTTAGTCTCGGAGATTTATAATAGGTTTGTAGTAAGCTTCCTCCCAAAGGTATACGCTTAATTGTTGAAACTATTTCTTCCAAAAGTTTATAAGTAGTAAAATTTCAAAAATATGACTTTGAAACTGGTTAATTAATGAAATTGGTTGATCACAAATATAAGAATAAAAATAATGTAAATTTACATAGGTTTCAATACCAAAAAAGAACTCACCTCACCATGGCAAATAAAAAGAAAGGAAAGTAAAAGATAGCCCATTTAAAATTGAGAAATTTATTTTTTTTGTAGGTAAAAATGTTGTATAAAAATACAAATAAACGTAGAAACATCATTCTTTTCCTCTCCGCCTCAA